TTGGGTATTTTGCCGGAATAATTTTTAATTTGTTGGGATATAATTAAATTTGTCGGAATATTTGGTAATTATAGTGGGAAAAATGAACACTTATTGTCATATTAAGTAATAAGTTGGCGGGACGTTCAAAAATTGAATGACAAGTACCTTTTGGTTGTAATACATTTCAGTCAAGTTTTATTTTATTAACAAATTCAGATAATTTCGGGTAAAATATATTTTCAAAATGTTAGTCGATGCCATAATAAATAATCTCCTTGATCCACAAATTTAAATAGTTTAGCGCAATTGGGTCGAGTTAAATGTTTTTTTGTAAATATTATTTATTTTGCTCCCAACATTAACCATCTAAGTACCCGCCTCGCGTCATTTAATAGTCTTACCACAACAAAAGAGTTAGTCTATGTAGGTATAAAGCCATTGTTTAAAGTGTGACATTCAGGTATGTGTTTTAGTCTGGGGTTCAATGTAAAGGTATATCAGTTTACCTGGGGTGATTGTTTATATCTATCTTAGAATGACATGATTTACTGACTCGTCGTAACCTTGTCAACTCATCACAAAACTTCACCAATCCCTTCATATTTACAGACGGCAATACTATTGTATTTAGTGCTATAGAATAAAGTATAAAACCGACATGGTCCCGCTGGTCCGAAAACATCAAAGTAGCCAGTGGGATTTCGATTTTCCATATAAACCCTGGATATTCACGCCCTTAATACGCCCATAAACAGCAAATGCGCCCATTTTAAACTAAAAAAATGTCTATTATAAACTTAATCCCAAACTTTGAAAGTAAAAATATGAAGAGAAAAATAACTCCGCCATATGCACTCCAAATTTAAGACCACAAATTTTGAAATTCCATTAGCACAATGAACAATCTGAATAAGTTTAAACATTATGTTGAGAACTGGATCGTGATTACAACTTAAAAGTCAATGGAGGGATTGCGATCGAAACATTATGGTTTCTAATTGGGACTAAACGATCAATCCCCCCCCCACCCCCCACCCCCCCCCCCCCCCAAAGATAAAAACATTACATTGGGAATTTTTTCTTGTATCGTCCTAACAGTCAGATGTAATGAATGTAATGGGGTTTAACGTCCTACATTTCTGCACCAACCGGGATAATATGAACCGAAAGATAATTCCACAAATCGCGTTCGAAATGAGCGATCCCAACATTTTACATGGTGAACTATGTAAAAAAGGTTTTAAAAACCTGTATTGTTATCAACGCGATTTCATATGTTCGAACGTAAAGGGGGATAACACCATGATTTGAGACCGAAAAGATTTAATTTTTGATAGGCTTCCTCCATCAAACCAAAACAAACAAAACTACCAAGCTTTAAACACAAACCCACAGAGAAATTTGTCATGCATCATGTTCACAAAACTTGAAGGACAAATTATGACCGAAAAGATAACTCAGAAAAACGAAATTTCAATATATGAAAATCTTCGAAATTCGATGTATGTCGGGTGCACGTTGTTGGTACGAAAGGGGTTGGTATGGGCGTTTTGATTAGAGTACCGTATTTTTAGTTCTTTGGGGTATTGTTACTTCATGAACATATCAGTTTTGAACTCGTACCTACAAGACTTAATGCCACATGGTACAATTCATAAGTATATTAGGGTCACGAAAATATATATTTGACTGGATTGTATATCATTTTACTTTTTATATTCGTCTAAAAACGTAATTATCCAAAGAATATGTAAATACTATAACGATACAGTAAAAAATGTTCATACACTCGCCGGAACACTGATCGTCCAAATATGAGCTTATGCCCCAAAGAACAATGCCACCGAGATTTAAAACCAATCAAGAACTTCATATGATTTCAAAAGCCCGAACGTAAATGGACTTCCTAATCTGAATGACGAAGGGCAACCGAATGACGAAGGGCAGCCGAATGACGAATGACAAGAAATTTATAAACAGTAAGGGCTCGCTTTATGCCATTTAGTGTTGTGAATAATGTTTGCACGAAAATGCTTTTGAGATTATATTGAATAGTTACCTTAAGTTTGAATTAAGAGAGAATATATTGTAATGACAGAGGCTAAATGGAAGAAAAACAGGTTCACTAGATGCATGAGAAAGAGAATGATAGAGGTTCACTGGACGAATGACAAAGAGGATGACGACAGAGGTTCACTAGGTGAATGACAAAGACAATGACAGGAGCCCACCGGAAGAATGACAGGGGAATGACAGAGGTTCATGGTGAATAAAAGAGAATGCCCAGGTTCATCATGTGAATGAGAGATACCCATAAAAGGAATGACGCGTGTAATGAACCGCTGTCATTATGTTTATTATTCGTCTATTTAGCCAGTGTCATTCTCTTTGTCATTCCTCTTCTGGGGCTCTATAAGTATATTTGTCATTCGTCTGGTGAACCTGTCATTCTCTTTGTCATTCGACTGGTGAACCTGTCATTCTCTTTGTCATCCGCATGGTAAACGTCTGTCATTTTCTTTGTCATTCGTCTGCTGAACCTCTGCCGTTATCTTGGTCATTTGTCTGCTGAACCTCTGTCATTATCTTTGTCATTAGTCTGGTGAACCTCTGTCATTATCTTTGTCATTCGACTGGTGAACCTGTCATTCTCTTTGTCATCCGCATGGTAAACGTCTGTCATTTTCTTTGTCATTCGTCTGCTGAACCTCTGCCGTTATCTTGGTCATTTGTCTGCTGAACCTCTGTCATTATCTTTGTCATTAGTCTGGTGAACCTCTGTCATTATCTTTGCCATTTGTCTGGCGGACCTGTCATTCTCTCTGTCATTCGTCTGGTGACCTTGTGTCATTAGCTTTGTTATTTCTCAATTGGACCTTTGTCATTCTACTTGCCATTCCTCATCTTGGAGTCTATCATTCTATTTGTCATTCGTCCGGTGAATCTCAGTCATTCTCATTATCATTCACCTGGTAAACCAGTTATTCCTTTGTCATTCGTCAGGTGAACCGCTGTCATTCGCCTGATAAACCGGACATTCTTTTTGTCATTCATCTAGTGAATCTGTCATTCGTCCAGTGAACTCCTGATATTATTTTTGTATAAAACCTCGTCGTTCTCAGGGGAGGATGGACAGTGATAAGAGACGCTGGGCAAAAAGGAACATTTTCCCCACAAACCATTTCATCCAACTACTCATTCCATAAGCAAAGCTTGGAACAATTACATAGATTGTTCCGTATAAGTGAACAAAGCTATATAATCGCATTTGAAGTAGCTAAGCCTCTAACTCAATATTCGAGAGAGAGAGAGTGAGTACGAGAGAGAGAGAGAGAGAAATGGGGTTTAACGTCCACTCGACACAAACTAGGTCATTTCGGGATTAACATATGGTTTAATTTTATTTCAATAATTCGTTCTCGCGTAGGGGTCTTTAGCAGTGTGGGGGGGGGGGGCGGAGAAAACCCACAAGATTGGACAGGTGACCCTACTCCTTTTCACGTACAACCGGGGGAACCGAAACCACGCCAATCCTTATGATACAGCGCCCACGTGCTAACCATTCGCCCCCCCCCCCACCACTACCACCAAAGTCTTCGACATTGAAAACACGAATTATTTGTCAATTTAAATCAACATTAATGTTGTGATCTGTGATCTTACCGGGAAAAGATGGGCTTCCGATATTTACGACAAAATAAACATTTTACCATTGGTACACGAATCGTGTACCATAATGAGTTTCAGTGCAAATTGTAACAAGGGACTCGAAGAACGAGGTTAGACATATAGACATATTCCACAAGTCATGTCAAATGGTGACCTCATGCGCAATAAATACTATCGGTGTAGACTGGATAAACCAGACGCTAAAGATTGCCATTCGATTGAGACTTCTGACGTACTTCGCCGAACATAGCTGATTTGAAATTAGAGTAAAACGGAAACGATTGCATGTAAATCAGTTTATATACATTCATATTACATTATTATATGCGTTGAGACCCATTTGTGTCAATCTCTAGGTCCCAAATATTAGCGATTTAGCGCCTTGAATTGTTTTGTCCTGAGGGGAGAAGTTATTGTATACAAATTTCTTGTCATTCGTCATTCGGTTGTCATTTGTCATTTAGATTAGGGAGTCCCGTAACTCCGACGTTTGTGACAACAATAATATATACACCCATATTTAATGTTTTCGTTTAAATAAAAATGGAATTTTGTGTCATTTTATATATTTATGGAAAGGTGGTAAATAGTATGCATGTGTATATGAAGTGGGTTTGTGGATTTTAAATGATGTACTTGTACATGAAGAGGTGGGTGGGGGGATACATTTTAAACTATATGTTGTAGGCCCATTAAATGGTTGGGAGGGTTGACTCTGCTGTATCCAGGGGCTCTAATATTAAAGTTGTCCCCACATTAGTTCTAAAATAAAATAATTTATGATTTTATTTATTATGTTGCATATGTTTGTGCCATTTAATTATATCTATCTCCCATACTGATATACAAATTGCATGTGTGTGGGTTTGACAGACAATGACCAGAATATGACCACTTTTTACTGTAGATGCAAGGGTCCAGTGACATTTTCAGCTATAGGAACCATGCAAGCTTAATTCGGCAACAGAAGGATGGCACGATTAATTTACATGCAATAATCGACAGTTCTTCCCCAATTTTGCCCTTCATTCCATATTTAGGTCATTTTGGGACTAACACATTGTTCATTTTTATTTCAATAATTTGTTTGCACGTAAAGGGTCTTTAGCAGTGAGAGGAAACCAGAGGACCCAGAGAAAACCCACGAGGTTGGACAGGTGACTCCTTGTCACATACAACCGGGGAATCGAAACCACGCCAGTTGACTCAATGACAGACCTTATGATACAGCGCGAAAGTGCTAACCATTCGGCCATCCAAACCCCCTCATTCCGTATCTTACTTTTCATATTTCTAAAAGGGAAACTTTACCGTGTTTCTATTCTTTAAAGAAAACACAAATACATTAATATGTAGTTATAGAATTTATTTTACTTCCATTCATAATTTACAGTACTTTCATTTAGCTTCTGTTTGTTATAACATATTGTATTCAGAACCAAACATTTAATATGGTGTTGAAGAAAGTTTAATTTTTGTCTAGGCAATTCAATATAAGTAGGAAACATCAAATTCAACATGTGCGGTTTCATAACCAAGAAATGATGGGGAGTGAGATATTCATGTTTAAAAATTACTGAGTTTTATCTAATATTGCTATTTAAATCCCCCCTACCTCCGAGTATACATAAATTATATATAAATTGGCGTCTAGAATATGAACAATATCATATATAAATAAATAGTGGATCCATTTCACTTTTTAAAACATTATTTATACATAACAACAATGATGTACATAATTTACATACTGCATATTTATCGTGATAAATAATTAAAAATATTCTTCAAAAAATAAACACAACACACCCATTGACAACAAAACATTCTCAAAACAAATTAACAATTTACGCATTTTCACAGACAGTGTCTGTGAAGTGAAAAAACCTTTATTTAAGGCTGACAATCAGCATCCACAATGAAGTAATAAGGCAGACTGAAATTTAATACTTTCCCCTAGATAAACATTTGAATTTTTCAACATGTGCAAAGACAAAATTTATTAAATAAAAGATATGTATATATAGTGTAGTCCAATAACATATTACATAAGCTTTAATGGATCTGTTTTAATTTTGTTCGAGAATGTTTTGTGAATGTGATTTTCAAAAACAATAAATTATTTTACACTGTGTATATAAAAATAAAATAATACAATTTTCAGAGGACGGATTGAGTTTTCATCCATATATGTAGATTTGTCAATGTGATAAACATATAGAAATATTTACAAGTAGTTGGACATCTGGTCAGTTGTTTTTATACAGTCTATTATATCCATACTGACATCACTGGTTTAAAGCGACAACATCCCAGATTAAAGATTAAATATACACAATCATACAACATACACAATCATAAAAAAATGAATCAAATGGACCAATTACAAATTAGGCTTACATTTGTTTCTACTGAATTTATACCACCATCTTTATGTGTCTAAGATAAATATAATAATAATAATAATTATGACATCTTCATGGAGTTTTATTTATACTCTGATGTCCTTAATTACACAGTATTAACAATCCTGTATGGTACATATTTTAACTTTTGAGATATGTGAAGTGCTGGCTGGTTGGTCCTTTAACAAATTTATTTTTTATGAGCCACGGTGGCTCAGTGAGTAAGACATTATTAGCTCTTTAGCCTGGAGGTCTCATGTTCAATAATGGTGTTGGTTGAGAAAGTTTATCAGGATTTTCCTGCGTTGTATCCTGTGTCAATAGTCAGTCGTTCGGATGAGATGAAAAACTGAGGCCCTGTGTACACACCGGTGTGCACTTAAAAGATTCGTATAGCAGGCATTCAATATAAGTGTAGGCTGTAGTGCCACTGTTTAGACAAAATTTCCCTCATAGTACACATTTCATTTCATTTCCTTTAACAAATATAGCACTACCGGTACCACAAAAATAATCAACATTAAACACATAAAACACACATTATTATTTCTATTGTATTCCAATTTATTGTAATATAGATGCTAATCATGAATCACATGGCTTAACTTCACAATAGCTTGATGACTTGGAACTGGAATATTCAATATTTACATGAGGTCATAAAGGGTTAATATGATATATTCCTAGATGTGGTCATTATTATGACATGCATCTATCAACAACAACCATAAGGTTTCGTACCTCTATTAAATAATTCAAAACATCACAAATAAAAACAAAGGCTTTCATGGTGGATTGACATCTTGTAGAGAAATAAAACAAACATTGAAAATGAAATAAGAATAGCAAATACTAATAAATTACAAACACTGGTCCTTGAGGTACTCCATTATTTGATGACCAGCTGCAACTACTGGTACTCAAACAATTTTAACAAAGCTCTTACACATATACAAACATTAAAGTTTAAAAAATAAGGTTCAGTGGATTTTTTGGGGATACAAAATCTACATAATTTATTACATCAGAAAACGAAGAGATTCAAAAATTTATATTCGTAGATCTACTACTATACAGAAGAATTGTATGTGACGTGAACTTCCTGATTAATCAAACTTGGCGTCAAAGGCCTGGTGACTTATTCACAAAATCTTAAACTAAAATGTTTTAAGGATGCAGCCATTTCATTGGCTGGCAGTTAAAAACCTAGTATAAATTAATACACGTGAACTTTTTAAAAAATTTTAGTTTTATTTTTGTTTTTATTAAAGCAGAACCAGAATATGACAGAATGAATATGATCTGGAATCATTAGCATTATTAGCATAAATAAAATGCAAGCAATAATTAATTTATATTTCTCTATAATTCTATGGTGAGCAAATCTTTGTACTGTTACAAATACAATCTCATCTGAATACTTCAATTCTTCCTGATCTGAAAATATCAATTACATTTTATTTCTAATTACTTATAGAATCAATGTAGTACATTTTAACATTAGTGAACCATTAAAACTGTAATTTGGTGACAATTGAGGATATATAAATGTTGCAGCTTATTGAGAAATATATCCATACTGTAGGCTCTAAATACTGATAATATTTATGAAATACATCTGTAATTTATATTTTTAATTTGATTAGATGAACAAAATGAAATAAAGCCATACAAAAAAAATATTTTGGTTCTCAGGCAATTCTTACCAAAAATTTGATGCGTGAGGGAGGTTTTTATTTTTGTGTTTTATTTTGTTGAAGGATCATTACTTTGTTAAATGGTCAAATTTAAAGGCACTACATTCATCTCATGTTGTTTATAGGAATGTATGATTATCCAGTATCATATATGATTGCCATTAACATTTATTAGGGTTGTGTACTTGATAAATGAGCCTATGCATTCATTCAATTTTTCTACCATTTTCATTCATAAAATATTTACATGTGGTAATTAATGAGACTGTTTTTATTTTTTAAAATAAAAAAGGGTCATGCGGCGCTTTTGAAATAACATGGGACTATCCGAGAACCCGAAAAAAATTTTTTTATATGGCCCAATAATTGAATTTTTCTAAAATAAATGAATCCATCGAAACCTTTTATCACAGAAGTAATCAATATAACAATCATAATTAATGAATATCTTTTCTACGGTAATTTCTTATTTTATGGTTCACTGAATTTTATGGCCTTTAACTGAAATTTGGATGGCAATAAAAACTACTAATAAAATATTTTCCATCCAAAAAAGGGTCCATGGCATGAAATTATCAAGACATAAAAACTGGTGGCTGTATAAGGAAAATGTATTGTTAGTTTTTTAAAATCATGTCCATTAGTGGTGCCAGTATGTCTAACTTACAATTTGTCATCATGTGATTCTATAGTGAAGGCTGGATGTAAACATAACAAACCCTTGCTAAAATACATCCCATAATAATATAAAAAGGGGCTAATTGGGGATAAAGAGAGGCTGTGTAGTATAGCACCCCAGTGTCGACAGTTGATCATATTTAATTTTGTATATTCAAACATAAAATAAGAGATCTATTTCGTGATAAAAATAACAACACTGTTATCATTTTCTATGTAATTATCACATTGGAGATATTTTTTGCTTTTCAACCAAGAAAACTATATCTTGAGGAACAATATTCATACATTTGTTTTTATATGATCTGATATAGAAGCATATTTTCATTCAAATTCATAATTGGTATTCATCTAGGGCAAGACTGCTGGTGGCCCCTAGTTATCTTCTATACAAATCTAGATATAAATTATTCCTCCAGTTTTCTATGCAGTGGTCAGGGTTTATTACTTCTCATTTAAGTGAAGTTTAACATACCACTTTTCTGAACCAACTGGGATAATGAAAACGGCCATATGCAAATTGTTTTCAATTTTTTTTTGTGTTTTACAATACATAATTATGCTAACAACTTCAACAATTCAATATATCATGAAATTCAACAGATACTGTTAAAGATTTTACTGATAGACTTAGGTAATGATGATTTTAAACAAGCTTTCTTCCAGTTAAAAAGGAAGTATCGAAGTTGTGCCATCAGTGGCATGGTCAGATTGAAAGTGGTGGGGCTGTCCTAGGCAATAAGGGTTACATGTATGATTTCATCAACCTGTTAGGTGAAATTTCCTGTGGCTTACAGTGAAGTTTCTGTCCATATTCTATCAGGAATGAAGTTACTGAGTCCCTGAACCAATCCCTAAAATCTCCTAAATCAAAACTTATCCAGTACCCAATACACTGGAAAGTAGAATATCAGAAGAATCTTCTGACCCCCTTGTGGATACGCCAATGGACACAAAATCAAGGCACTTAGACAGATCATCACAATTATCAGACTTATCATTATATCAGCTCCTGCTGGGACTTTCCTGTAATGTTATAAAGGGTAAATTAACAAAGTCGTAGTTATTATTTCATTATCTTCCCAAACTGATGGTGGTCCTTATAAACCTTTCTAATCAAAAATATAAAATATTGACATAAGAATCCATTAACTGAGTGAATAGAAAATAATGGTCCTTTGTTAGAAGCTCCACATGGAAATTAAAAAAAAAAAAAACCTGGTCGTCTGCTAATATTATGACATCACAGACATGTAATATTTACAAATGTTATCTGTGCGTACATCTTTAACAGGTTTATTTTACAGTTGCCCAGATTTCATCTAATAATAGGGATGCAGACTTGAACGTAAAATCATTAAATCTACTCCACGCGGAGCTGCTGTATGTAACAGAAGTAGCTGGGTTATATAGAGTAACACAACTAAATCTTTCCACTTATTCATCAATCAGAATTATCTCCTCCTGATCTTGATACCTAATCCCGGCATCAATGTTATCAGTTGAAACATCAGTTCTCCCTCGGTTTTATCATACAAATTCAACAATGGCCGCCAAAGCAGACGTATTGTTCCCTTATCATTATCATCTTTACATTAACAAAGCCAACACACAAGAATACAATCTAGTAACTGTATCATTTTCTATGGCTAAATTAGTCAAACAAGTATTTTAAATAGCTTTACATAATCAACTCCTTTTAAAATCATTGTTGCTAAGGAGCCATTTTCTTTCAAATGTAAGATTATGTTAATCTGGCCGTTCTTTGTACGATTTATAAAGATATCCTACTGTTTATTATTTGAAGAAAAATAACGTCTTTTATGGAATCACACTGAGATAACGAGGCAACTGTCAGGACATTTAAATTATAATGTATGTTTGTATACAGTGTTCTCTTTTATATAAAGAGTATTTAGACATCATTTCTGCTTATTAAAAGAAACAATTTTGTCTGCCGTGGAGACTGGAGGCTGATCAGCACTTTTTATTTTCAAAGAAATGGAGGCTCATAACAGTTGAGAGCACGGTCATATTAAAATTTGAGAGCATTCCCGTCAAATTCAGTTATCGTGAAAATGACTATATGTAACACTAAATTACCACACCCTTTTAGATAATGTTTGAAATGAGTAAGAATTACAAGTTAGTCTACAAATGGCTTTCTATAAGCTGTTCACAACATACTGAAACAAATCGAAACAGTTGATTTTAACCATTTCGATAGGTTGTACTGTCAGGCAAGATTATATTAAAAAGTCTGAATACTTAAGTTATTCATATGGGACAGCCTTGAGATTCACATGTGTACACGTGTGCAGATAAGAGAACTCTTGACAATTGAAATTTTATGGCAAGTATGTGGTAACGCCCTGGTCCGACCATGAATCTCCTTCCTGGCACATCTTTCCTTTCTTAATGGGTAAATAGAGAGATCAGAAAAGGTCATCAAGTTAAACAAAGTGTATGACAAATAAATCTAAAATTTGAATCACAAGTTACCTTCTTCATCATAATGCAAAAAGAGCTTGACTGTCTGTCTGGTTGATGTTTTTATCATCATCTTGATTATCCATATCATCTAGATTAGGAACTATGGCTTCTATCTTCTTTTGACGCCTTTTTTCATTAAAATTATCTGCAAAAATCACCTCAAATAATCAGATAGAAATCAGTATTTTACAAATATTTCAAAATTGGCAAAACATTTGATTATTTTTTTTAGGGGGAAATATCTTAACACTGAGACAATGTCAATACAGAAGAAAATAGTGACAAATTTTAGGAGAAACAGTTGATTATTTCTAGCACTTTCTAACTTGAATGCAATATAATGGGCTTTACATCTAATCAATGCTATAATAAATTTTACTTAGTTTATTCTGAGACTTTTTGTTTGATTGATATAACAATTTGCCAAATGAAAAATAATCAGGTCTGGATTGAACTTGCGTGGGTCCCTGGATGAAAATGTCAACAAGGACATTGCATCAACAGTGAAAAGGGGGCATATTCTGGTCACTGTCCATCACACTCCCGCAAATGCAATTTGTCAATTAGGTAAATAGATAGATGTATATGGCACAATCATATACAACATTATAAATGACATATTTAGGGTACAAAATCTTGTTCCAAACTAATTGGAGGGGGTGGGGGGCACTTTAACATGGGGGTTCCTCTGTCCTTTGATCTGACCCTGAGGATAATAGACAATAATGGATACTTGTTTAAAAAGACATTGATCAATAACCACTACAACCAAGACAGTACAAGATACAACATTAAAACCAAAGAAAAACAACCAGAAATTAATTTAACGACGAGAAGAGCAAGTAAGTATTTTTGTTTTCAATTTAGTGAGAAATAACTCAATAAACTTACCACCATCAGGAATGTCTGTCACAGGTAAACCAAACGTTTCCGAATCAAACATGGCTGTACCAATATTATCTCCAGCTAATGGAGGTAATTTCTTCTTCTTCTTTTTCTCATTATATTTCAAATTAACTATATTATCTACAGGTCGAGATTCTGGCGTCTCATTAATTGTACCATTTTCAGTAATACTTGTCTTCTTTGGTGCAGGCAATTTCTGTTTATGTTCAGATCTCTCTGTTGAGGAAAAAAACAACAAATAATCAAAAATCTAAAACAAAAAGTTTGTAACAATCATAATATACAAAATATACAAAATATACAGACTTTACTGTGCATTTATTCCTGAAAGACATACAGTGTACATATACATGTCCAGTATTTTCCGCTTTGTGAATTTCTGAATTTAAAGATGGAATGTGGTTTCTCAGCAAAATACATAGGTCATTTCTATGTGCAATGCCAGAGTGAAAATTTTGCCTGGATAACAGCTTTTCCACCTACTATTTTCGAATTCAACTTCAACAAGTTCTTTTAAGTGCTCTTTAAGTCCAATTTCCTTTTTATAGACTGATATTTCTTTCAGAGATTCAACTTTAACAATATTATAGTTTACATGGGATGAGTATCAGAGACTTTAAAATGAACAATAAGAAATGAAATGAAATGAAATGAAATGGGGTTTAACGTCCTACTGTTCTGCTCCTAAACTGGGCTAATGAAGACGGGCATGCGCCATACAGGGTGCTACGAGGGAAATTTTGCCCGGGCAGCAGCACTATCGCCTACTCTTATATCGAATTCCAACTGCCAAGGGATCTTTTACGTGCATTCCAATGTATACACGGGACCTCGGTTTTTCTTCTCATCCGAAGGACTAGACAGCTGTCCTTGTCAGGCCTTCCGCAATAAGAAATGAATCAAGAGAGTGTCAACAAAATATTAAATACATTGGTGTGTCATTAAATAAATTCAGTTTAAAATCATTTACAATTTTCTTATTAAAATCAATTGATAACTGCAGGGGAACTACACAACATATAAAACAGAATCCAATGAGACAAACCCACCGAGAAGACATATCATATAGAGTCAATCTAAGTAATCGACAGCAAAAATATTATCAAATCAAGTGAACTGATCCAGCGGCCAGCCGAAAGCATCCACCACGCAACTGTGTTACAACACCGCTGTGCAGTAAATAATTTCACGTTTTAAAGCCAGCTGTAAGTGTCCATAACACCAATGTTCAGTAAATAATTTCATGTTTGAAAGTCAATCGTAAGTGGCCAACACACCACTGTGCAGTAAATAATTTTATGTATTAAAGCCAACCGTAACCATTCACCACACCGCTGTGCAGTAAATATTTTTATGTATTAAAGCCAACAGTAACCATCCACCACGCCGCTGTGCAGTAAATAATTTCATGTTTTAAAGCAGTATATACCTCGTAATCCTTCTATTAATCTGCATCCTTTACCAAGTCTATCACACATTAAAGCTATATGTTTCTTTACTTTACTTGCATCTGATGGAATAGTTAATGGTGCTGGATTAATGGACGTATCTTTCGCTGTTTTAGCCAAGACTGTTCGTAATAAATGTGTTACAGCTGCATCTACCATTTCCTCCCATCCCTGGTAAAAATATTTATCATCATAAATAAAGACATTATTCTACAATTCAGTAATAGTTTCATTTCAAATTTTTTATATCTACTACATTAAAGTCGCCAATTCCAATTGGTATAGACTGATATATACAGTGTGTTACAGCTAACTTTTACTTCCAACTGGGCGGATCACGTGGCTAAGACGCCGGCTCTCTAGCCTGGAGGTCGGGTGTTCGATCCCTGCATTGGCCAAGAAAGTTCATCAAGATTTTCCGGCATGGTTCCCCCTTGTCAGTGATGCAGGACGGAAGGCCTGACAAGGACAGCTGTCTAGTCCTTCGGATGAGATGAAAAACCAAGGTCCCGTGTATACATTGGAATGCACATAAAAGATCCCTTGGCAGTTGGAATTCGATATAAGGGTAGGCGATAGTGCCACTGCCCGGGCAAAATTTCCCTCATAGCACACTGTATGGCGTATGCCCGTCTTCATTAGCCCAGTATAGGAGCAGAACAGTAGGACGTTAAACCCCATTTCATTTCATTTTTCATACTTCCAACTGTGAGCAGATCTTTAACGTTTTGCCAATGGTATACACATTAACTCCTTTTCTTGTCACATCTGAATGACCAGCCAGGTCCTCCATTTTGCATCAATGACATGGGCAAACTGGAAAAGTCAGGAAATCCTTGACAGTGTGCCAGTGCCATACTTACGGAGCAACCTTTGATTCATGAACCTGAGTACTTACATGTTGTGTTGATTTAGGAAGCCCGACTACTTACACGTTGATTGATGAAGCTGAGTACTTACATGTTGATGATTATCATTAACTATAGGTGTTATAACAGATGTTAAAACACTGAATTCTTCCTCCGTTAAATCTAACCATAGTTTAATTAAATAATTGAGTAGATTTGTTCCACTAGATAAATTATCTGACGTATTATTCTGAGCCTGATTATTATCTTCTATAGCGTCTGCTAACGCTAATAACTATAAAATAAATAAATAATATCAGTCATTTACCAATAATTCAAACATTTTCATGTTGAAAAATACCATATGAATCGCATGGGAGCAAATAACGACAGAGTTTAACTCCAATTGACACTAACTCAGTCCTTTTAGGAAGCGAGAGAAAGAGAGAAACAGGGTTTAACGGCCACTCGACAAGAACTAGGTCATTTTGGCCGAACTTTGGTTCAATTTTGTATTAATGATATGCTTGCGCGTAGGGTTTTTTAGCTGTGGGAGGAAACCAGAGGACCCAGCTAAAAACCCACGAGGTTGGACAGGTGACCAATTTTCTTGTCACATACAAGCAGAGATTTGAAACTACGCTACTTGACGGTTATTTTAGGACTAACATATGGGTATTTCAAGCATTTGCTAGCATGCAACGATGTTTAGAACTGGAAGGAAACCGGAGTAGTACCCAAAGAAAACAGATAAGGTTAGATAGGTGATATTACTACTGGTCAAGTACAAGCTTGGAACCAAACCCATGACTTGCATAGAGAACAAGGTTTATGATTCACATTCCTCACAAAAAAAGGAGAGAAATGGGGTTTAATCTCTACTCAAAACAATCTAGGTTATTTTGGGACTAACATATGGTTCAATTTTATTTCAAATAATTCGCTTGTACATAGAGGTCTTTAGCAGTGGGAGGAAACCAGAGGACCCGGAGAAAACCCACAAGGTTAAACAGGCAACCCTACTCCTTGTCATGTACAAGCGGACAATCGAAATAAGCCACTTGACTCAATGACAGACCTTATGATGAAACCATTCGGCCACCCAACCCCTCCACAGTGCACACACCCTAGGTGTTAGAAAGAACATAATCTTGAATTACTAACCTGTCTATATGTGCCTTCTAATAATGTATCTAGATTTTGTAATGGTGAGGGAGTTTTATCTTTAAACTTTGTTAATAATCGTCTCTGTATAACACGGAACTGTGACGCCCTCTGTCCTAACATTTCCTCACATTTTACAGCATTCATACGATACTGAAATATACAACAAACATTAATTACATCTGGAAATAACAATTTTAAAGGTTATGGACAAAATGTCTACGACAGTTGAATATATATATTTCAAACTATGTGTCAGACATTTACTACAAATATTGACTTTTGAGAATTGAAAAAAATAAACAAAGCAGGCTTCAAGCATTTTTCAAGATCCTGAAGAAAAAAAAATCAAATTGCTGTAGAACAAATGTCAGAAATAAAATAACATCCTACTGTTTCACAAATGTCAGCGTTTATATTATAAAATTGACACTGGTAATATTCTTATAACTTACACACAGTTAAGATTTCAAACACTGTGCATAGGAAGACAATATTCCATAACATAATGTACAATTTAATGACCTAAAAGTACCACTGCATGGGACACAGTATTAAAGATACAGGTTTGAACTGGCATATAAAACATGTAAACAATTATCTTTAATCTATCTTGTTTTAAAAACAAAATTAACTAATAATTACCTCAAAATGAGCTTCTATTAACTCAAAATATTCTTGTAAGGGTAAGGAACCGTCAAATGAAGCCTTGAAATCACCTGATCTGCCACGATTAAGATGTGATGTCAGTCGACCAACTAAATCTTTTAATGGTAACCACATAGCTTCAAACTGATCACACTGTATTCTGTAACGCTCTGTAAGATAAAAGATTTAAAATTCTAGTCTCTTGCTTGTCCACAAGTTTTTTTGAAGTAGGAAAGGTAACATTTTCAGTATTCACAGACACATCTTTATAATGTAAGCTAGCATATAAATATTACACAAGGATTCTGAATTTTCATTTTGTTTTTAATGTGGATAATTAGTTTATTTTAATAGAATTCAAACATTACACCAACTGCCGTCAATAATAGTAACAAAAAATCCATCAAATTCTAAAAACCTAATCATATAACCACAGAAGAGACACCTACGTGATGATTTAGAAGCCAATATAGTAACAACTGGTCCACCAAAAAACTGAAAACCTAATGCAGCTCCAGCAGCTCCAGCGCTTCCAGCATTCTCTCCTAATAAATCTATGGAAAAAAAATTTCATATATCAATAATAGCCATAATCAATGTATGACAGAATTAACATTTTCCAGTCAAATTGGGGCTTGGATAAGGCACAAGTTCCAAGATGAGATGCATGACCTGATTACATTTACAAGTCAAAATTAGTAGGGTTGGAGGACAGAATAACATTTTGCAGTGAGAAATTATATTATCAGTAAATTGGTATCTATGGTTAACTTACCTGGGAATATATCATTTAAACTAACAGGTGGTTTATTGGTATCTATAGTTAACTTATGTTCAGCATTCTTTACAGGAAATACTGGTTTTACCACTAATTTTAATGGTAATTTAATTTTAGCTGTTGCAACTCTTGGAGCACCTGAAAAATATTGTATATTTGTCTTAATAAAACTCAATTCATGGAGTAAACTATATAACTATCAAATAAAATTTTTAAAAGTAAAAAATAAAAATGTTTTATTATAAAACAAAGACAATGTTAAAATCAATTTAATTCTGTTTATTTAGATATGCATTATGTAAGAGCTCTATCTGCCTATAGCAGATCTTTCTTCTGGCTTCAGATATTATATAAATTATTATTTAGGCATTTATTTGCATCACAATCCCATAATCTTGGATAGCTGTGATGTTAAGTGGATCAGAACATTCATGCTATTTAATAATTCAAAATGGATAATTGAGACTTTGTTTATTGTAGTAACAATGGTACTCGACAATCGAAACTATCTATGCTACATCTTGTCAAAACTTCAAACGCTCATAGCTTCAATCAGAATAAAGTAATTTCACTGAAATTTTCAATATATTCATTTTCCATTATCTATTTTTGAACTAACAAGAACGGCCAGCTCTTCATCTAAATCTTACATAATGTATCTGTACCATACTTTATTAACTACCATAGATACAAAGGTAAGTATATTGTAAATGAGGATATATATTAGACTTCACAACTACAGAAATAAACGTGGGTAGTTTTTAGATACGTATTATAATAAAATCATAGGTAAAGTATATTTCCAACTCACCAGTAGCACTGGGATATTTAGCGGATACTTCTGCTGATAAGGTTGAAGGTAAACTGCAATATTTCATATAAAACTGAACAACCAATTCTGTACTTTTACCAGATTCTGTTAAGAAAAAAAAAAAACACAGTTAAATAATATACGATGAACAGTACTTATCTAGGATCATATATCATTTAAAAGCATAATCTGGTCAAGCGATATTTCATATATGATATCATGTGGTCAAATGTTTTACAATACTTAGGGGGTTGGGTCACTTTAGATCACAAGTGGTGTGGTTTCAATCCCACACTTGTACATGACAATGAGTTGGGTCACCTGTCCAACCTCATGGGCGTTCTCCAGGTCCTGCAGTTTCCTCCCACAGTGAAAAACACCTACACAAAAGCTAATTAATGAAATAAAATTGAATCATGTTAGTTCTGAAATGACCTAGTATGTGTTGAGTGGCCGTTAAATCCCATTTCTCTATCTTTTACAATTCAGCTTAAATGTCAACAAAATTCTATATTTGACCATCTGGCCTTAAAGACATCTGTCATCCAATGTCGACACCAGCTGGGTTAAATGGCCACATCAGAGGTAATATCACCAAAAATTGGCTACTAAAAAATAAAAAGTCATTGAAATTAATGTGGTTTTTAATGATCCAAGCTAATTGATGAAGAATTCTGTTTACCTAGAGAAGATAAGGTAAAGCTGTGTTGACTTGATGTTAATGGTCTGTTAGTATGAATATCAACATGAATATTCTCTACTAAGGTTTTGGCTTTTAATACAATCTAAAATAAAAACATAAAGACAAATGATCAAATTATGAAGATTTTACAATCAGTAAGGTCTGGCTATTTTTTTAAATGCATAGGAATAAAAAGTTACTAAAATTGTCATAAATGAATTCATCATCTGTTGTTTAAAAAGCGAATTTACACATAACATTTGTTTTCTTTAAAAACTTACTCTGGCTGTGATGGACGGAACTTTTTCACCAGGTATTTGTGCATCATGAGCTGCCTGTAATTACAAGATTATGGTTATTCAAATGCAATTAAAATACAAAGTAAACAGATTTCAAACCAGTAAAATTGTAACCAGATTAGATTAGTAACGTGTAACCAGATTACAGATCAGTAAAGTGTAAAAAGATTACAGATCAGCCAAGCGTAATCCGATTAGTAAAGTGTAACTCGATTACAGATCTGTAAAGTGTAACCAGGTGACAGACTAGCATAGTGTAATCAGATGACAGATAGTAAAGTGTAACTAGATGACAGATTAGTAAAGTGTAACTAGATGACCGATCAGTAAAGTGTAACCAGATTAGCAAAGTGTAAAAAGATGACAGATTCGTGAAGTATAACCAGATGACAGACCAGTAAAGTGTAATCCGATGACAGATCAGTAAAGTATAACCAGATGACAGATCAGTGAAGCGTAACCCAATGACAGACTAGTAAAGTGTAACCAGATGACAGACCAGTAAAGTGTAATAGATGACAGACTAGTAAAATGTAACCCGATGACAGATCAGTGAAGCATAACCCGATGACAGATCAGTAAAGTGTTATGATGATAAATCAGTGAAGTGTAACCCGATGACAGATCAGATCAGTGCCAAAATAAAACTTACGGATGAACCATCATCATCTAAGTGTTGATTAACATGGACTGTAATCTGTAAATCATCATCTGTTTTTAAATTTGGTGTTATCACTGAAATTATAACACATAATGATTTATAATACTTTTCAATATTAATCTAGTTAACCACATTCACATATTATGTAATTTTTTTATTTTCTCAAAATAGATCTCGTTTAGAATGTTATAAACGGAATTGAAATGAAATGAAATGGGGTTTAATGTCCTACTGTTCTGGGCTAATGAAGACAAGCATACGCCATACAGTGTGCTATGAGGGAAATTTTGCCCAGACAGCGTCACCACGGCCTACTCTTCTATCAAATTCCAACTGTCAAGGGATCTTTTACATCCACACCAATGTGTACACGGGACCTCGGTTTTTCGTCCCATCCGAACGACTAGACAGCTGTCCTTGTCAGGCCCTCCGTCACGCATCACTGACAAGGAAGAAGCATGCCGGAAAATCTGGCTGAACTTTTTCAGCCAATGCAGGGATCGAACACCAGACCTCCAGGCTAGCGAGCCAGCGTCTTACCCACTTAGCCACCATGACACCCGAATGTTATAAACACATTTTTCACAAATACTACTAAAGACAAAAGAAAAGTATATAAATACCAGCTTTATGTGCTTTTTCTCGTATTTTTTTCTGTAGTATTTCCATCTCGGCATCCATAGCTTTGTAATTCAAATCTCTAGCGTCTGTAGCTGGTGGTATAAAGATGGCTGGATCTGTTCCGAGATACGAACACTGTAAATGACCGTCATCACTTAATGTAACAATACTTCCTTTTAAATCTCTGAAATAAACAAATCATATTTTCATTCGTTCATCTAATGGTAATGGCACATTGCTGATGTATTATTGACAGATGACAACAATTACATGACAACTGAGGGGAGTACCTTGGGGATGTGGCTATAGTGTAAGGTCAATGGGTCAATTGTACAAGAAGGTACCGAAAAAGAGGTATGATTAAGGTCTTACTAGGGAGCTTTCTAGTTACAAATCTTCATATCAACAAAGAATTTAAAGGAATAACAGCTTTTGATTTACATCAAAATAAAGTGACAATTAGGAGGATCTGATGATTTATTGACTAATTTCTTTATAATAAATGTTTCCTTTCGGCAGATTAAGTACAACTCGAGCTGTATTTCATATTCTATTTAATTAGCCAACTGCTCAATACAAAATCATAAATATCACAATACTGATTTAAGATACAGGCATTGTAAATATGAAAAGAAATCTGTACCATTAACACAAAGTAAGACGTTCATTACAATCATTACATCAACTAGGGTATGGAACAATAATGCACAATCCTAGATGGGTGTCATGAAATATATATATTCCTGGGACTTTATGTTATATGAATAGTTGAAAGACCTTGTTATCTTACTGAAAATTTGCAACTTTTACTTGAACTGGACAATGTTCTACTTTTGCTGCCCATTTTAATGTGACATCTTGATAGACTAAAAGAGACTTGGTGGTTGTGGCTACTATATAATTTATAGTCCCTTCTGTCACTAAAAGAAACAAAAGTTAAACATGTAGCAAACATTAATAGTTAGTACAGGGGGACTGCACAACATATAATTTACACAAAACAAATCTACGGACAAGACACAATACACAATCTTTGGAGAGAGGGCTCATTGCCTAGCATGGTCTTCAAACCCTATTTAGATTCTATGAAAATAAATATAATTTTGAAAAAGACATAAGACATAAACTAATTTAATGGAATAAATTTCTGAAAGTGGGCATACTCTTTGACACAAATCTTCCAAAAGGCCATCTTTTCCAAAATCATGACTTTAAAGACTTTAACCAATCAAATTTTAAGAGTTTCAAGTCTTGTCTTAAAATCATATCAAATAAAAGCTTACTTACTTGAACCATATGGTAAAAAACAACATGGATCAAATTCCATTTTAGACATGTAACGTAATAAACCACCTTCTGTTAAACAATATAAATTCCTCTCTCCTGTAATATAACAACATTTTAGAAATGTTACGTAACATCCACCTTCAGTTAAAGAACATAAAATCTGTTCCCCAAAATAAAAGATGGGAGCTAAATATAAAATAAGAACGAAGTCACATGATTTACAAACTAATTATTTCAGTTTTAGACACGGACAAAAAATAGAAACTATTTTGATGAGTATACTCATCTGTGTCTATCTAGTTGTTGAGTTATAATCTAGATCCTTTTTCCATTTATAAAACTTACCTAATACAAGTATAGAAGATGGAGCTTGGGGGAAAGCAATAACATTTATATCTAACGCTGCTTCTCCAATAGAAAAAGTCCAATCAACCTTAAAAATAAAGAAATTCATACATAGTATACAATAGTACAACAATTTGTTAGCTATGTGAACTATCAAAATGAGAAGTGACATCAGGCGTTCCTCATATCTTTATCAATTTAAAATTGAAGCAATAGTTTTGTAATCGTTTTGCTGTCTGTGGTCTAAGGGGGGATAATATTGCGTTTGGGTCTATTGAAAGAGTTACCTCCCCTTAAGTGTTTTCTGACCTGCTGTCATTCACATCAGCAATTTAAAAACTGAAGAGACACTATAACTATGGACCTTGACAGGCTCATCTTATAACATCAATTTCTTTTTCTACCACAAATCTCTTAAACAATGATATTAACAACATCTGTCTTACCCTAAATTAAATTACTTAAAAAAACCCAACAAAACAGGAAATCTGTTATACTTACAACAATCTTTTTGCCTGATTTAATATTCTGTGTTTCATCTACACCAGGTGTCTGTGAGGCTGCTGCTATTGACTGATATCTATAAATAATAGTGTAATATTGATACAAGAGGAGGGTATATGATATATTGGAAATGAAAGAAGTGTGGTTCAGTGCTTGGTTAATGGCAGTTTGTCATGAGGGAAATTACCACCTACACTTTATCTAATTCCAACTCTAACAGGTTCTTTTACATGCATCTCTTTTTTTGTCCCATACGAATGACTAGATGTTTCCTTGCCAGATCATCAGACCTGCCCAACTGACAAGGGAAAGTTAGGTTGGAAAATCCTGAGGAACTTTCTCATCCAAGACTGGGACCTCCTTGTTACTGAGCATGCGGCTTACTCCATGAGCCCCTGTGGCTCTTCTATTAGCCTGATATTGTGTCAATTTGGTTATCATATAAATTAGATCATTTACTTGTATATCAATCTTAAAATATTTATATTAAAATCTTACTTGTAACATTCAACATGCCAGGATGAAGAAACAGTAATAAAGCTATCAAGACGAGGAACATATTTTAAAGGACCTGGTAATAAGGCTCCAGGTAAGAAACGACTAAACGCAAAACTTTCCTGTTCAAAAAATGACACAGTTCCATCCATAGATTGCACACATATAAAATCTTTTCCTGTAAATAAATTATAACAGAGGTGAATAAAATGAAATATGTAAACATCTAAAATTGAGAATTTTTCACATCTTTCTGTTTTCCAATTGTTTACTTGATTCGACTAAGTTATGCAGTTTTATCAAAAAATTTACTGTAAGATTGTCTGGAAAACAATTGGTTAATCTGCTGATCCATATCAGTTACAACATATGACTCATAGTCATACACAATTGATGGTCAGGGAAGCAATTCTTGATTGGGGGGCTTCATCCTAGGTCCTTAAAGCCGTGGGTCCAGGGGCCGCAATAACCTGGAAAAAGAGTACTTGCGGCCAAATTATTGGGGTGGGGGGGGCTAAAGCCTAAATTTACAATAATCTGGTTAGCCTAAGAACATTTTAAGTGGTAATGTCAGTTATTACATTTATACTTCTTGGTATCCATGTAGGCAGGGCTGGGGTAATGATAATGGGTAATGGAATGTAATCATTACATTTTTTAAGTAATGGCCATGTAATAAGTAATGTAATGGAAGACTTCTAAGTAATGAGTAATGGAAATGTAATTGATTACATTCCAAACATCATGTAATGATCAATTACTTTTCAATTACATTTTATGGCACATATAAATATTTCCAATAAGACAAGCCTCATATTTTATGGCAGAAAAGAAATAATTAAGTGTATCTGCCATAAAATCCAATTCATTATAATTTGAAAAAAGATTTAAATCAGTTTCAACAAATTATAATAAGAAGGCATTAAACATTTTCTTTATTTCCTTTTCTTTTATTACCTTTTGTTAATATTTTCAATAGCTAAATGATTTAGCTATTGAAAATATTAACAAAAGATAAAATTATATGGATACACAATTATAGAATTTATTCCCGTGAAACGTTTCAAAGACAAAACTCTTGTCTTATGAAGCATGTGCTGTATAATTAGCATTGCATGGGTAGAGCTCTCTGACACTTCCTTATAAAAGTTTCATGTACCCGGACGTGGTAGTGCAATGCTACAGGCAGCCCTAGTATTGCAGGTAGCCCCAAACAGACAAAGATACAGACAAACGACAGTCACAAAAATATAAAGATTTGTTTGCTAAAGACAAGAGTATCAACTTGTACCTTGTGTACATTAATACTGTACCTTTAATTCCTCCAAATGGACCATAACAAAAATTATAGGTAGTTCTCTGTAGATTGTGTTCATATAATTTCTGTATTTGATATTGTTGACCATGTTCTACTGTACCAGATATAGCTGAAACATCAAAATGTAATGACTACTAGTGTTAATCATTTCATCAACTTTATACCTGTTAACAGAAGGGATTAACATATGGGTCTTTAGCTGTGGGAGGAAACCAGAGGACCTGGATAGAAAACCTGGAGGGTGATGTTTTACAGTTTCGAGACTGGAGGGTATAACAATATAACAATTATGTCTTATTATGTCAAGACGAGGGTATAACAAGATGTTTTACAGCTTCAAGACTGTAGGGTATAACAATTATGTTTTATAGTTTTGAGATTTGAGGGTATAACAATCATTTTTTAAATTTTCGAGATTAGAGGTATAACAAGATGTTTTACACTTTCGAGATTGGAGGGTATAACAACTGTGTTTTATAGTTTCGAGATTCAAGGGTATAACAATTATGTTTTGATGACAAAGATCATTTACTTTTACCTTTCACACTGTAAATAGCCAGTTTTCTCGGATGTAAAACAGCCAATTGTAAATTTTCAGTAACTCTGAAAAACAAATCCACCACATTAGTCAATGAGATCAAGAATATTAACATAAGATTGTCAAAACTATGTCCTAGATCAGTGATTCATCTTGACTGTATTCACAAAATAAATCAATATATTTATCTTTCGTTAAACATACATTATGCAAGAGCTAAATCTGTTTATTGAAGGTCTTTCTTAGGGCCTGAAATGTTATCTAAATTATTAATTAGACATTAATTAACTTATCCAGACCATAATCAAATCTCGATGCCATCACTAGCCTGCGATGTTTACTGGATTTGAATGATCGATGATTTAACGGCAAAATGGAAAATCGAGGCTTTGTTTTTTATCATACCGACTTTAGTAAATGATGATCGAGAATGGAGTAATTTGACTGAAATTTTCAGCATTCTCTTTACGTTATCTATTTTTGAACTATAATAGCGAGAACTGTCAGCTCTTTATCTAATCTCCCATAATTCCCCTTTAACATTGTTAATATCTGGATTATAAGCTAGCTAGAAAGAAAGATTTTCTGGGCTGTACATTCTAGATTTCTGACAGCAAGAATGGAAATAATGTTTTTGGTTCAGGCTGACAAAGTTACCGGCAAACAATACTTATTTCTTAATATTAACTACCAAGTGAAGCTAATGATTTATGTGAAATTTGTATTTGTACCTGACATTTTTGACTTTGCACACAGCATACATTAAAAATAAATAAAACATAGAGAAGAATGAGATCACTGTCTAAAAAAAGAAACGGGGGACATTTACCCGACAAAGCCTGAATTGGAGTCTTGACATTGCGACTCCAAGTTGCCAGTCTGTGTTTTGTCTCTAATAAAACTGCAGGCCCCAAAGAATCAAGAAAGCCTTATTGACTTGTTCAAAATATCTATCTTGGAGTAACCATGTCATATTTATTCATAATAAACATGTCTACTTACGATGAGAATTTACCCACTTCTATCTGTAATATAGGAAGCTGAAAAGCTTGTTCTACCATGACATCTTCCACCTTATACCCACTCCAGCCATTTTCGGTCTTCGTTGGATGTGGGTTGTAAATTCTTAGTATACCATGAAAACTACCAATTATTATTTTATCTGAAACCAAGTTATAACTGTTTTAATAAAAGTCTCAAACAAGCATGTAAAAAGATTGCACCATATTTTCTGTTGCTGGGGGTAGGACTGATGACAGGAGTATTTACATATGTACAGATATACTAAGCTAATCTGATAATCTAATCTGATAATCTTATGCAAGTGCAGTCTCATCTTTACCCGTTGAAATACAAATGGTTTATGTACGATCACTAGACACAAAGTTTTCATTTCAGTCGGTAAAATCACTGAAAAATAATCTGAAACGTATCAGATATGCAAATAAAATAGTTTTTGTGATGAAGTGCAAGACTGAGCAAGATTTTAGTACTGCATGAATGTGTGAGAGAACGGGGGGGGGGGGGGGGGGGGGGGGGGGGGGAACGATAAATAAATCAGGTATTTGGATATACTGACCTACATTATCAGGAATATTATCTATATTACCAATACACAGACAACCATGATCAAACTCTTCATCTTCACCTACGGCCACAGACCACCAATCACGTGTTTTAAACAACGACATATTATCTCCTGTCTCTCAATTTATCTGTAAATTGTAATATACAAAAATGAAACAGAATAGGCCTATTGGCTATTGTAAGTGCTAGACATATTATATTATAGAGAAATATCAATAAAGTTGGTCTTATTTCTGCACAACTTTGCCAGGCTCATGATTTTCATGTGAAAACTCTCAAAAAACCCCAAAGATATCAACTAGGTCGGCTCTGCGACAGTAGTGTGTCTCTGCACACTGTCCTGCAAGTGGCAGTGTGTGGGAAATGAAAAATGTTTTTTCTATTTGTAAGACAATGTCTGGATGAATTCAGTGGAATTCTGGTGTAAAATTATTCATTCAACATTTTTTCTTAGCATTACCACATTATTGTGACGCTGCAAGAGAGGAGTCGCTTTTCGGGCTTACATAGAGGCGTTCACATGATGTAAACTATTTGGTTTCCATCGAAAACAACTTTATCCACCATTGCTAACTATTCGTTAAATGCGCATGCGTGAAGTTCAGGAAATCATAAAATATCTGCTTTGAACATCAAGACCCTAAATGCTAAGGAAAATTATTGGGCATATATGTTGTTTTTTTTAAAAAAAGGTCAACAGCACTTTAATTTATAATAATTTAACATAATTCAAGTCTTCCACGATCAATTTATTATATTAAGAATCTTTAATCGCTGATTGTGTGCCAGAACGCCCCTCCTTTATTTCCCTTGCGATATTCGGTTTGCCGAGTATAATTTTCCAAACCACGTGTATGTGACGATTGTATTTTTGTCGGATGAGGTTATCCATAACAGCTATTTTTTCAAATCCCTTTATTTTTTAAACAGTATTTTTGTAAATAACAATTTTCCGTTTCCAGAAATCGCTTAAAAATGGAATAATAACTCATTTTTTTTAGAATTGGATAATAATTTTCAAATTTCTTAAATCTCGACTTGCCGAGATTACACGCATACACTCGGCCATATTTGTTTAGATTTGTCTGCTGGAATCTCGTGCACTGCTGTATGCAGGAAAGATTTAGGGAAATATTACAAAGACAACCATGAAGACATTTACTTCTGTTCAAGCAGTTCATGTTGTTTATCTGTGTATCGCCTGGGTAAGTATTTATGCACGAAAATGGGTGCATTCTCTCTGAAATATCCGCAAATATGCTTATTTCTGAAACTGAAATAAGTTAATAATAACCGGATCCAGGTTTACTATTTAGGTTATGCGTCTGGGGCTACTACTAGAATCTACATCAATCTAAGAGTAAAGCAAAATCACAATTATTCACTCGACAAGCAGAGCAATTAGTACAGTTATTTAATAATAAACATTGCCCATTTACAATTTCCTTCAACAATTAAAAAACAATATTTCTCATGTCATGGTTATCACAAAACAGAAGTCCAAGTAACAGGCACAGGAAGGAAGAGGGCCAAGCCAATAATATCATAACATATGTAACAGGCATTGCCTGAGTAGAGTGAAACTGATGTCAATGTTGTCAAATTGTCAAATATAAAACCTTCATAATTAAGTTTCTCAAGTGATACAAATAATGTTAAATAATTTTGTTTTTCCGAATTGATCTTAATTTAGATCTAAAAAGTGTGAGAATTATTTTCATCGACTTCAGAAATATTCAACGTCATTATTCATTGATTAGACTCGCCAATGAAATATTTCTATGAGACGCGTAATCTCGCTTCGGCGAGATTGGTAGATTGAAATATGCATTGCCAGTTTTGCCAGGTGTATCCGGTTCGGGTCTGAACTGTTTTTTTTTAATCAACAGTCTGCGGATGACAGTTTTAGTTGTGCTCCTGTGTTATCAGGAAAGAGCTTTGCTCTATACTGATAAGTTTAGGACATTTAAGCCATCTGTGAATATTATATTATAGGAACCTGAAAATTTAAATGTAGGAGTACTACATCCTTGTCAGTGGCTTACTTCCTCATGAATATTATTATATGGTGTTGAGTTGTCACTGTGTATTTAACGTCCGTTTCCACCGAAATCATCCAGTTTCCGACCACAGCTAGAAGACAACTGTGTTCAAGCAAATTATTGAACCTTATGTTGGTTCCGATATGACCTAGTTTGTGTTGAGTGGACAATACAGCTGTATATAAATTCATTTTTGATTTTATATTGTACAGTGTATAATGTGCATTATTGTGGCAAGCAAAGCCACCATTTTGGTTCGTATGATTTTTGCTGTTCCACTAAATTTTGACATCAAAAATGTTCTTTTTTCAGTTGTGTAATATAATAAATCCTGTTTATGGAGAAACTATTGCTCTTAATGATGGAAATGTTAATAACATATTAGGTAAGTAAACATAGCTTGAATATCATAGTACCGAATGACGGCACCACAATTAACTAAAAACCCAAAAGACAAACAAGCAAATAAGGCATTAAAAGTAGATGTTAAAATTATTTGTGGACAGGCTTTAAAATTATCAAACTGAAGAATAAGATAAAATATTTTAAGAGGAAAACAGTTTTAGTTATTATGTAAGAAACAAATAAAATGAATTCATAGAAATGATGCCTGTATCGGAAGCAGGTCGTTTCATCCCACTACCAGTTCATCCCGGGCTGTTTCATCCCAAATTTACACGGGTCCTTTCATCCCACTTAGATCGGGTCCTTTCATCCCACAAATTTAAAAAACGTTATTACATGAATTTTTAATTTTTATTTATACATTAATACCAATAACAATATATCAATGCAATTTTATCATGAATAATGTCCTACTCCTTCTTTTGCATACGCCTTAGCTTATTTTCCGAATATTTTATTTATACAATGTCAATGCAATTTTAACATGAATAGTGTCCAACTTCTTCCTTTGCATATGTTTTAGTTTATTTTCCGAATCCACACCACTTCTCGACATCAATTTCACTAAAATTACATCGCTTACAATCGAGCGATGCTCATAGCAAAACACTCAACTTGTAATACACTGTATTTTCATTTTCATGCATAACAGGATTGCCAGTGATAGAATAGTCTATCAAAGAATAAAATTGCACGTAGTCACTATTTAGATGTTCAGACTACTTGGCACCTCAAATAACCCATCGTTAAAAGAAATCATGCAGTGTCCACCTTACAACAGGTTCCATTGGTTTACGATTTATTTTATAAATTAGCACACAGTTCAGACCACAATGTGTTGCAATTCGCATTTTGGTATTCTAAATGAATTCTTATTCGGAATTCTTATATTTGGAGTTGTTTAGTTTCATTTCGTGTACGGAAATTAAATCAACGATCAGTTTTAAAATTAATTATGGTTTCGAAATAATATCAATCTAATGTGTCTTATTTAAAAGGGGCTCCTGTGCGCAATTTAGTTGATTATTTGGTAATATGTAGAGTCCATGATGTATTTTGGCGAGTAATTAAGCTGTCAATATGTAATTCTAAAATACCTTTTTATAAAGAAGATAAATGATGTTAGACATCATAAACTAACAAACAATACCGTATACTTTATTACAAAACATCGGTGAACTAATCTTAAATCATAACGGCAATCAACAAAAATCGACGAGTAAAACTTATTTATTCCATACATTATTGTTTATTTAACAATAAGTAAGTGTTTAACAGTTTATTTAACGATAAGTACAACTCAGTTAATTGACTGCACAAGGGGGGTGAAACAGCCCGATAAAAAATTAGGTTGGGATGAAACAGCCCGGGGTGAAACGGTTGTGGGATGAACTGACCCGCGTCCGCCTGTATCAATCCTTATTTAATTCAGTTGAACTTGTTTCCATGTGCAGTGGGGCCCTTTACACAACACTTAAAATATTTTCTTTTTGGAGCGTCATTTAGCAAAATTTAGTGGCATTTAATATTGTGATCATCCTTTATGTGGTAGTTGGATCTAAAATTATTGACAAGGGTGCCACAATTATTTTTTTGATAGTCATACATGTACATTTATCATCCAGAATTCTATATTTTAAAGAATTGTATGTATTGTATTGCAGGAGGCCATGATATTGTATTTATAAATTTTTATGCAGATTGGTAAGTTTTTTTGGTGATTGTATTTATTGTGTACTGCATTGTTGAGGAAAATTCTACTGTCCAGGCAAAATTTCCCTTATAGGACACACCATGGCATATTCCCGTCTTCATTAACCCAGTTGGTGCAGAATAGTAGGATGTTAAACCCCATTTCATTTCATTATTAGCTGTACCAAAGTAAGAGTGTATTTGAAAAGCTCACAGGTCAGTAAAGGTGTAATTGACAAATGTTACATGCATTTAAACAGTGGCCCCTCACTCTCACTTGATCTACAGCACAGTATTCTGTCTCTACTAATGTTTGTTTTTCTCAATATTTTAATGTTATTTCCTTTATTTTTACCTACTTTATGCTTTCATCTTTGGGCACCAGTGATGAGTGTTTTATTAGAAATAATAATATGTAGTTACGTAATCTTCAGGTCGTGATTTACACAAGGTTATTATTGTTTCAATATTTTTTAGTGGAAAATCTTTTGAATCGTTCTTTAAATTTTACAAATTATTTAGTAGAAAAGATTGAATGTGAGCTGTTTTATACTTAGTTCATTCGTACCTCACATGAGCTGTTTCGTACCATGGTTAATTTCAAGAGAACTAGCTTTAATTGTAATGGCAATAGAGATGTTTTTTTATGGAATAGTCTACAGAGTAGGTAGTATTTGGGATTGGCAATTACTGCTTGGGTGTTTAGAAATTTGTTGAAAATTCGTGTATATTTAGTAACATTTCATTGTTTTTCTTTTATCAAACAAACGAGCTTGATGTTTTTAGTATTTTAGAATTGTGGAAGCCTAAATGTCTTTTACGTGAAAAGGACTAATTGCAATCAAAACATGGCTGCCATTATCGATGACTGAAAACTCATGTTTTTCTTCATCCACCAAAGAACCGTAAGGTTTCTTTGCACATACAGTAATATCAGGATTATCTGTAAATCAGCTTTAATTATCCCGCTTTTCGGAAAGACTTTTCTTTGTACGCACTAATTTATCCATTGGTACTGACTGCTATCTGGCAAGCTTGTTGAGGAATTTATGTCAACATGCAGCTTATGGATTATCATTAAAAATTTCTTTGGACTCCTAAAAACAGTGCATGTCGTGTAAATATTTACTTTTGTTTCTGTGTAAGTCATTTCAAAATAAATTCAACATCATATTCTTTTTTAAAAAATAAATTACTTTACGGGAAACGAACGATGATAAAGGAACGTAGTGCAAACTAATGTTTTAGCGTTTGGTGGAGCCTTTTAATAATCACAAGTTTCATTTTAACGTTTTCTTTTGTGTTTTGAATTGGCTTATTTCTAATAAATTTATCAGCTACCTTTTTACATATTACAGATATAAAAAAATAAAACTTTCTTTTCATAAACATTCAACATTGGAAAATTTGCTGTTCCTTAAGAGGTCTATACAGTGTGTGATTAAAAACAACAAAAGGCATTTGGATTTTTTCAAATCGTTTAATTATGTTTCACCATTATTTCAACTTATTTCAACAACATATAGGAAAAAGTATGAATCAATTTGAGGTACGAAGTGAGGTACAAATGAACTAAGTACGATATAGCTAGTTTACAAAACAGCCTGCACCCAAAAGTTTTAAATTTTTTGGTCGTCATTGTTTTGACTATGGCCCCTTTTTACTTTCTTCAGAGTATAAATTCAACATATCTTTGTAAATACTGAAAAAAATTTGGATTGATATACTCTTTTAGAGATTTAACTTTCACAATATGGTAGTTTACAAAGGATTCCACAATCCTTAAAAGGACGATCAAAAACTTTCCTCCACCTTTAATATCCTGTTCTTACAAAACTCTCTCTCTTAATATGTAGCTAAATTTCTTACATGTGTTTATAATATGAATTTATTGTTGGTGTTTAAAAAAACAAAATTGATTCCTCACTAAACTTCAGGGCCAGAGTATATTATGCTGGACAAAGTTTGAATTTGAACTAGACATTGTGATTGATACATTGTACATTATATTATGTCCGGCTTGCATTAAATTATTGACATAACATGTATGAAGAGATAAAAAGATATATTATTGAAGGGTAATGTTACATTTAGATATAGGGTAACAGCAGGATAAGTTAATATACGTACATTGTTCAAGAGTGACGTTCTCAATTACTGGAAAATAAACAGTTATTGAATAGGCAAACAAAATGCTATTGGCAAATTTTTAAAGTAATAATTGCCCAGGAATGAACAAATAAAATCTATTTTTCAAATTGTGAAATTGAGACATTGCAATAAAAACTATTAAATGAGATGGTCCATATTGTTTCTATATTCTAATAAAAAAAAAAATTTAATCTCAGCTACTTGGATCAACTTTTAAAGAATTTGAGGTATCCTTGTGTTCCTGTTCTGGCACTGCCCTTAATAAGAGTTCGTTCGTCATATCAATACTACTGGCACCACCCAGCACACATCAGTGGGAATTGTTAATTTTGTGTGTAGAAGTTGATGATTCTAATACTGATTGAGCCAGTGATGTCACAAACATTGATTGTGGATTTCAACAGATGTGTCTAGAAAGCCTCTAAATACATGTAGTTGATTGTGTTACTGTCAATGCTATCTATATGTATCTTTCGTTAAAATACAGAAATAGGAGGACCATCTCCTTCAGATTACATGCAGAATCGTTACGTTGGTTTTTTTTTTTTAACCCTATGTGAATATTACACGATGTAATATTCATATAGGGTAAAAAAAACATGCTCATGCATGCCCACAATGTTGTCATCGATACAAATATTTTTCATTCTATAGAAAAAAAAAGAGACTCTTACATATACATTACATCGATACAATTAACGTAAAACAAGACATTAAAGTGATTAGTATAACAAATCCCAAGTCACATCAATTACAATATTCTTTCCTTTTCTGTAAGGGACAAACTAAATTATTGAATAGTTTCAAAAAGTATAGGTTAATCAGCTGTATCATCTAAACATGATAACTGTACAACAGAACACATTAAAATAATCAGTGATTAATCAGATGATAATCACTAAATAATTGTGATGTAATGATCTGATAGTCATCACCTATTGTTAAAATTACAGAATATATATAAATGGCAGATCACCTTAATTTCAGTTTAATTTCCTGTTTGACACGAGGAAAGATCTTTTTGTGTCTTCAATCTGTCACTTGATCGATATTATATCTGTCATGAAATACACGATACATGATAAATATTTCAATAATGTTACACCTAATCAATATATTAATACAGCTGTTCTCTTGATTAAAAATGTTGTATTTATTTATAGCTCTATTGTCATATTGGTAGATGTTATCTGCTTTTCTGTTGAAAATAATTATATTTTAATGTCATGGCCCAATATTCCAGAAATATTATTATGAATACTTAAATAGTGTGTTTATGTTATCCACCATTGTGCTCTAAGCCTCTGAACTTGTAGGTGACAAGGAGTAGAGTTGCCTGTCCAATTTTTCCCCCACTGCTAAAGACCCTTGCGCGCAATAAAAATGAACCATATGTTAGTCCCTAAATGACCTAGTTTGTGTCGAGTGGATTTTAAACTCTCTATCTCTTTCTCAAAATTAAGACTACATGTAGACATAATGAAAAGTTTTCATGTTGCATATTAGTCAAATATTGATCAATAATAATTAGAAATTGATCAGTCTTAACAGAAGTTGTGATCTGTCTAGATTTCACATTACTTTCTATTAAATTATCAAAAGTTTCTGCCCTTTGCATCTTTAGTTCTGTTATAATAATTAATTGGCTGTTGTCAAGTGACTGACATGTATTGAGCTATGCTGATGTTCCTTCATGAAACATTTTAATGAAAATATGAAAAGTTGGGTTAAAGAAATAGGACTTTGTCCATTTAAATTCAAACGATTTTGGATTTGAATCTTGATTTTGAACAGTTAATACCATAAGTAGCATTCCTTGCCAGTTGAAACGTGAGAGTACATGTATATGAAATTCTGTCCTTGCAAAATTCTACCACTCTGATTTTATAGTTATGTAGATATTAGGATGTTAAAGGAATACATATTTTGTATCCTAGTTACTATACATGTGTTTTATTTTTATTACCAGGTGTCGCTTCAGTCAGATTTTAGGACCCATATTTGAAGAAGCATCGAATAAAATAAGACAAGAAGTACCGGTAAATCAAATTTTATACTTTTAGTTATACATTTATGTTTGTTTAACTATGTACATTATTATTTTAAATAAAATTTTCTATATAATAACATCCATATGATCACCAATTTAATAAAGATAAAAACAGGTTTTGGATAATGAATGTTTTATTGCGGACATTATTGTGATATTAATTAACATCAATGCCCCACATGTAGATATAAACCAGAACTGTCAAGCAGCTGTATGTCTCATAGACTATTTCTGATAAATATTACACTCTGCTGAATAAATTAGTAGTTGTAACAACATCATCCAATAACACAATTCAAAATTTAATAAAGTGACAAAGTTTTTGAAGGAAAATTGTTTTGATAATAGGATAAATATATCATTATATTTATCTAAATAGTAAGAAAAGGCAAACAAAGTCAAAGAGCTCTCTCCAAAAACTAAATGAACATCATTTCATTTTGTAAGAAAAGCAATCAATTTTCTTTGAAAATTTTACAGCCCAAGTGATAAAAACTATATTTTTGTCAATTTTTGAACCCCTTTTTTTTCTTTTACAAATAATTTTGATTTTCGACTCTTGGTAATGTAATTTTAAGGAATATAACAAAAAGGGTTTTGAAAAAAAAGTGGGATGGAATTCATGATCATCATAGTTTAAAAAGAGTTCTGCTTTACATGTTTTGTTAGAAATAATGATTGTATAATTATAGGAAGCAGGGCGTGTGGCATTTGGTAAAGTTGACTGTGATAGAGAAGGTAAGATATATTGAATTATAAATATAGTTATATAACATATTCTTTACATGTTACATGGTTATCGCTTTATAGCCTACATCATTTATAGAATTATTGATCTCTCCTTAACAGCGTTGGATCTAATACTAAATTCAGAAGAACCCGACAAAGACAGCTGTCTAGTCTTTCGGATGGGACGGAAAACCAAGGTATATACATTGTCGTGCACGTAAACAGTCCCTTGGCAGTTGGAATTTGATAAGAGTAGGTCATAGTGCAAAATTCCCCTCACACAGTATGGCATATGCCCATTTTCATTAACCCAGTTGGAGTAGGATGTTGAACCCCATTTTGATTTCTCCTTGAATGTATGTCACTATTCTTTCATACAATTTTGTTACCATGGTTCATGACATCAATTTTATACGCCCACATTTTCGTGGCAGGCCTTCTTGTCTAAAAATAATCATGGGGAGCTGAAAAAAAGCTCTCCTGGAATCGTCAAAAAATTGAAAATCGCTCTCCTGGAAATAAGGACAGGGAGATGACACGTATGATCATATGTAATGATCTTTAGAATAAACTGAAAAATAGATGAGCCTCAATATTTTCCTAATTTAATTCAAATACCAGGAAAAATAACAGCCAACAATCCATTCTAATTAATAGCCATACATACTATTTTTACTAAAACAATTTTAAAAAAATAATTTGTTTTATGTTTTATTTACAGTAAATATAGCTTCAACATACAGAATTAGTAAATATCCCACATTAAAATTATTCCGTAATGGACAGGTGGTTAAAAAAGAGTTCCGAGGTCAAAGATCTGCAGACTCGATAGCTAATTTTATACGAGAGCAGATGAAAGATTCAGTGATAGAACACACAAACGTTGAAGATTTTGACGAATTGGATGTAAGTTAGATTTAATTTGGTGAATAACCTAATATAATAAGAGCTTATTTGTCAGTGTTTGTCATAAAGGAGAGGGATAAATCAATTGGATTAATGTATATTCAGTTATAAGGCCTGTTGTATTATCAAAGTCGTGGGTTTGATCCAGCATTTGTGCATGATAACTAATAATGTTGTCGATCTGGCACTTGTGCATAAGTAGTAGTGTTGTGTGCTAACCTTGTTGTTTTCTCAGGGTACTATTACACACATATTTGTTACTGAAATGAAATGTACTATATGTTAGTTCTTCATTGCATGGCAAACCTTGTTGGGTTTTCTCCAGACATTTTGTCCCAATTCTAGAGAGCCTGATATACAAACTAGATATTGACTTCACAACTCTTGAGACGATGTTATTGTAGGCAGTACAGGTTTGATGAAAGTTAATCAGATGAAGTGTTATAGAATGACAAAATATTACGATAGAAGTTCATGTGATCATAAAAATACAAATAACATTTCTTCAGGAATAGTCAAAGAAAACATATAACAGGAACATTAAAATGTTTTTCCTAGACTAACAACCCAAGAAAAATTATTAAATCTAATATAATCAAATTTGATAAATTGGTTTAAAATGATATATTTTTCAGACCAAGAAAAGACATGTGATAGGATATTTTGATACAAAAGCCTCAGACACTTATAAAACATTTACTAAAGTTGCCAGTAGTCTTAGAGATGATTGTGTATTTCATGCTGCTTTTGGGTAAGTTATTAGGAACATTAAACATTAATTCAGGAACAATCAACTAATAATTGTGTAAGGACACACTACATATAATAAAGAACCATGATGTGACAGATTGTGCACCTAGTTTATTAAAAGATTGCTGTGATCTTGGGGAAAGAGGAGTAGGAGAGTTAGTATTTGGACTGTTGGTATACACTATCTGTAGAAGTTTTATAATTCATAAAAGTTTCTTGAAATGAAAGCTGTAAGTGCTGGACAAGGAAAAGGCAGAGTCATAAAGATTATATGGAAATGGCAATAATGCTTACAGGCAACACCTATTTGTTAACTCATTTTAGATTATTGGACTGTATCATATATATATTTTCAGACCAGCATCAGTTGCGGAAAGGTCAGGGGGTGATAATATAGTCTTTAGACCTGCAAATGTAAGTATTTCTTATAAATACCTGATAAGGATCTGTGTGTGTTCATTAGGACAAGGCAAATAAAATGGGATTTAATATCTTGTAATTAGGAGTTTACATACGATCAGATGTCGCAGTTGATCAATTTTGAGTTGCGTAAAAATATGCAGACATTAAAAAATAGCGTTTTTGCTCCCTACATCTGCGTGATTTAGAGCCTCTCAAAATACTCAATAGAAGCAAGTAAAATTGTTACGTCAACAACCCTATTTTAAGCGCCCTTCTTTCATTGATACTGTATTTAATCTAATGACGACTGGAGGTTGATGGCACAGTCATTTTAATCTTTCACTTCGACAGGAAGTAAAGAGCTAACTATCGCCATGAAAGCCAATATTTGATTGGCTGAATGTAAACAGTTTATCATGTTCTAGCCAATCCAAAGTCTTGTATGAAATGTGCTTTATTGCTTCCAGTGCGGCAAAATAGGGGTGTCTCAGAATAGCTACGTATAGAAGGCTTTCTGCCATGAACTTAAAATAGAACGAAATAAGAGGAAATATAAAAACCTACAGAGACTACTGACAGTAGGGGTGTGTAAATGCCGCGTGATGCACGGAAATTGATGTTGTAGTGTACAAACTACGAAATAGAATAATCTAATTATTCTCACTTCGGGGAAATTTTCTGCGTGTAAATAACGCAGCGTTCGTCAACATTTGCATTTATTTTGAAAAAAAATGTGTGAAAAATGCAGATTTTTGCGTGACTGCGACCTCTGCATACGATATTGCTAAGCAGTTGGAATTGGAATTCTCTTTAAAGTGATCTGTTCCTTGCCAGACCCTCTGTCCTATACCACTGACAGGTGGGGGGGGGGGCATGCCAGAAAATATGTTGAACTTTCTCAGCCAACACCGGGATCAAACCCAGGATCTCCAAGTTTGCGAACCAACATGTTACTCACTGAACCAAGACGACACCCAGGTTTGAGAAATACAATGTCTAATATTGTCCGATATTGTGTTTTATAAACTTGTTATTTATTATTTCAGTCTAGAAGACAAGATATAGTATACATGGGGTCATTAGTAAATTTTGATACTGTTAAACAATGGACTAGTGAAAAATGTGTACCCTTTGTTCGAGAAATTGTATTTGAAAATGCTGAGGTTAGTAATTGATGATTTTATCAATGGTGTAAAAAAACTACTGAATATTCCAGACTATTAAAGTAATCATTCATATTTCAAGCCTGGTTCCCACTTACTCTGTCGAGTGGTGTGGTTTCAATCCCAAGCTTGTACGTGGCAAAGGGGGGCAGGAGGAGGGGTGGGTCTGTCGTTAAGTCAAGTGGCGTGGTTTCAATTCCCCACTTGTATGCGACAAGGAGTAGTGTCGCTTGTCCAACACCATTGGTTTTCTCCGGTTTCCTCCCACAGCTCAGCTTATGATCCATACGTGCAAGTGAATTATTGAAATAAAATTAAAACATATGCAAGTCCCACAATGATATAGTTTTAGTGAGTGGACATTAAAACTCTCTCTCTCTCTCTCTGTACGGGACAAGTAATAAGGTTGCCTTCGTAATCTAATTGGTCTTCAGGTTTCCTCCCAATGCTCAAGACACAATAACATTATTGAAATAAAATTATACCATATGTTACTCCTGAAATGACCTAGTTTGTCGAATAGAGGATAAACCATACTTTTCTGCCATGCCCATTTTACCTCTTGTAAAAAATTTTTTTGTTTGATTTCAGGAATTAACGGAAGAAGGTCTGCCATTTTTAATTTTATTTCATAAAACTGATGATACTGCAATTGTGGAGAAATATCATACAGAAGTAGCTAGACAGTTATCATCTGAAAAAAGTAAGTTTATTAATTAAACAGTTTTAATTATTGTTATTAACCCAAGGTGAAACTCAGTTTTGAAACCTCAGCCTTTTCTGTTTCTACAGTCTATAAAGGGGGCCTTGAATATTAGCTAACTAGGTATATTAAAGTTAACACCGATCTGATAATTGACCTCCGGTCATCAATGAAAGCTACACTTAATACTGGATATTGAGACTATAGTCACATTCAAATATTTATCACAATATAGATATGGCATGATTTGAATCATGATACATATTCTTATCACGTATTTCATTTTAGTGTCATACCCCAGTATTCTCTTGTATGTCTCCAGCCACTTGTAATTTACTAGTGATTGAATACAAAGAATTAAATATGTTATATTTGTATATTTATATCTTTTCTCTGCACCTGCATCATTAATGATCCATTAGTCACTCAGATCTAATAGATCTGTCCAACCTATCTAACTCAATCAATGGACACAGATCTAATTGATCTATCAATCTAATTAAAACACAGGTCCTATTTAGTTTCATTTTTTTATAGTTCAAAATTTTGTTTCACTTGTCTTTACTACACTAGTATCTGGAAGAGTTGTTATATAACAGGCGTTCTACTTGATGTGAGGAATTAGCCAATGAAGCAGTCTGTTACAATGAATTCTTGGCGTACTGTGCACGACACTGAGGGCAAACCACTAGAAACTTCAACGCTGGTTGGTTAATCAATATCTGACATTATAGGGTCAAAAGCCGCTTGTTTGACCTCTGCCGCTACCTATCACTACAACCGGTCAGATCTTCATGTAGTGTAGGCCATTGAAAGTATAAAAAAACGAAACGAAATATAGATCTGTATTTTAATCAGATTGTGGATCTGTCAAACATTCGCCATCCCTTTCCATCTCCACTTTTGCACCTAGTTTAATATCGGTCTTTGTTTTTCAGCCAGTGTAAATTTTTTAACTGCTGATGGAAGCAAGTTTACGCATCCTCTGCATCATTTGGGTAAAACATTAGATGATTTACCTGTGTTAGCTATCGATAGTTTTAGACATATGTATGTTTTTCCTGGGGACATCCGGGAAGAAATGTCGTAAGTATTATTCAATTATTTTTGTTAAACGTAACATTATGCAAGAGCTAAATCTGCCTATTGCAAGTCTTTCTTTAGGCCAGAAATGTTATCTAAATTATTAATTAGACATTAAATAACTTATCCAATTAATTAATTAATTTAAAAGGTCAGACAAGTTGTGGGAATGTAGTAATACAGACTTCACTTAAACTGAAAATAAACTGACATCAAAGGAGATATATCCCAATGATAGTATTTATTTTAGTATATTAATTTATTGATTTTTCTGCTTAATTAGAAAACCTGGTGTTTTGAAAGCCTTTATAGATGATCTTCATTCTGGTAAACTTCATCGTGAATTTCATCACGGTCCTGATCCTACTTCAACAATCCCACCACCTCCTGCTCTCGTAAGTAAAAAAGAAATATGAATTTGCTAATATTTTCAAAATATACTGTTAAGAATCCCAATGCCACTAAGCATTTGGTGATCATGTTTATAGTTTTTAACGTTTTAAAACTTAAAAAAGGCCTGCCCTTGTAACCTCATCACTGTTTCCTGAAACAACTTCACATCATTCATGTTTATTTCTATAAGCATCTCTGTCCCAACATCAACACTATTATCAAACTTAACTCGCATTTAAAACAATGTACAGAGTAGTTACCCCCAACTTCAGATTGAAACAATGTACAGAGTAGTTAACCTGAACATCAAAGCTATTATTAAACTTAACCCCCCTTTAAAACAACCCCCAACATCAGAGCTTTTATCCTTAACACCCCTTTTAAAACCCCCTCCCCCAGTATCAGAGCTATTGTCAAACTTATCGCCCCTTTTAAAATAGTACAGTAATCAACAGTACTTATGTACAATGTTGTTTTTATCTGAAAACTGATATTTTAAATCTTAGCGGAGGTTTTAATGTGTGCACATAAGATCATATGGTCTGTCGTCGAATCAGGTGTTGTGGTTTTGATCACAAGCTTGTATATGTCAAGGTGAGTGGTTTACCACTCGCACTTCAGATCCTAAGGTCTTTCATTGAGTTGTTGCTTTAATTTCGACCTCTGATTTCCATCCCACTACTAAAGACCCTTATGGAATTAAAGATTAAACTGTTAGCCCCAAAATGACCTGACTGGGTTGTATTAAGTTTAATATACTTTTATATCACCCCCTCTTCAAGCCTTCATGACACATTAATTTCCTGGAGCAACAATTTCATGAGGCATTAATTCTATTTTTCTACAGGGTCAACAAGGAGATCAAGAAGTACAGAACCAGCCTAATCACATTCCAAAAGATGCCAGCGATTCACAGCCTGCACGTGAACAGCCAACGTCTCCACCAGAATCGGCATTTAGAAAACTTGGTCCCTCTAGAAATAGATATACTATATTACGTGATGAACTTTAGATAGCTAGTGTAGATAACATTAATTTAAACAAAGATATTCATTTATAGTACAACACCCAATATAACTGGAGTAACATCGTCAAAACTCCTCTGTATGATAAGAGATCTCTACAAATGACTACTGTATAGTCGGCGAGCCCTTCATAAAATTCATAGGAGGGTCTGTAAGATAAAATTTAGTTAATAAGCTGGAATTAAACATTCAATAGAAGACAGTTACTGTTTATTACTGTAAAAGCTTTGACTTGAAATAAACAGTAACGGTCTCCCATAGAATTGATTCCTGTGTATTAAAATCTTCCAGATTGGAGAAATTTCTCCCAAATATATTTTTTAAGTTTTTATGCAAGTTGGTGAATTTGTACCACATGGTCTGGTATTTATTATTAATAGAGTTACTATGGTTATATACTGAATATTGATAGATTGAAATACTTGTCAAAGCTAAAAACCATAGACTCCTCACTAATACATGGTGTAATGTAATATTTTAAGGCCCTGTCTAACTATGAGTTATTTAGCTGAGGTCCATGTTATATTGAAGTCCTATTGTTGATAACTATATTTATGTATAATTTAAAAGTTAGGTATATTTGTAAGTAATACCGAGACAGATCAATTTAATAATAGCCAAGTGATAATTGTTAATATCATTTTGTTTAAGTTTATGAATTTCGTTTATGTTAAGCTTTTTGTTTTTAACTGAGAAGTAGAAAGTGAAGCAAATTAAACTTGTCATGTTATATTTAAACAATCTAATTTAGACCCATTGTCAATTTTGTGTCATTTTATTTTTTTGTTGTACTACATATATATCTGACAAAAATTTTCTTTCAAGATAATGTTCACATCACATATCTTATTGACCATTCAAATCATTGTGGTTAATTATGGATATTTTAAACTCCCGCATATTAAGAGTGAAAGCGAACATTAAGTAAATCTATTCACACATGGGTGGAGTGTTGATTTATAGTTCGTTGATATATATATATATATATAGAATTGTCACTGAATGAAAGTTGGTTAGATTACAATGTGGTGTATAAATCAGAAGAAAAAAAACAACAAAATTGTTATCTGATTTTAATTGTATCTATAAAGGTAAGAATGTGTTGAGTTTTTGTAAAACAATCCTTATTATAAAATTCAAACAGATCACATCCACTGCTGTCTGAATTCTTGAAATCTTTAACACTTTTATTAATATATAAACTAAATTATTGATAATACAATTAAATATCAAATCTTGCCCATTCAAAATCAAAATATTTTACAAAAAATGACATTTTTATCGTTTTGTCAAATTAAGGATTTTTTTTTTTTTTTTTTTTTTAAATTGAGATGAGATAGTTGAAAAATAGAATCAACATCTGATCTCAAAAGGATGATTTACACCATTCTCCAAAGTCAATATTAAATCAACTAGTCTTAATAAACTTGAATCTATGTAACAATCCTGTGACTAAATGATCAAGACTGCATTTGTTGCAGTCAGACACTGATCAGCTTGTTAATCAACGATCGGGAATACTTCTGTTACGGAAATTTGTTGCCAAACAATGTAGTCTTGAATGGTTTTGACAAAAGTTTACAAAGGAAATCAACACGAGGGGAAGGCAACACTTCTGAAACAATTCCTGATTTGATTGTTAGAATATCTTTTTATTAGGTTAATGTTTAAAAGTTTTAAGCTTAAAGATGTTTATGGGAATTTTTGATTTAGAGGAAAAGAAAACAAGAACATGATGTGCAGATATATAGAATGTTTTGTATATTATAAATATAGCATAAATGTATCTAGTTGTTGTTGTTGTTGTTAGGGTTTGTAGTATGAAAGTTTATTTTTATCTTCAGAATTTATATTAGATTGTGTGTAATAGTAGAAGTTACAGCACTGTATTTCAGACTGGCATCAGGGTATTTGTTGGGATCATTTCATTACTATTTTTCATCAATTTTAAAACCCAAAGATGAAAATATAGGACTGGTTAACAGAAGAATTATTTGATGCCGGATCGTCACATCAGAAAATACTTTACATCATGTCTCTATTGAATCTAACAGTTGTTGTTTTTCAAACACAGATTTAATTCTTTGGTTGAAAATGAGCAATAAAAAAATTTTCCAAAAAGACAAAATTAAAATTGTTTTATTCTCAAGAATGTGTGCTGAAAAAGAAAATGTTTGTTTTTGGAAGGTAGTTCTTGTGGGTTATTTATTTTGTGTTCATATGTACATGTTTTGATCTGTTTCAATTATTGCTCTACACACCACTATACTGTCTCTATTAGATCATATTTCTTAGTTTCTAGATGGTTTCTCCATAAACATGCATTATGTAAGAGCTAAATCTGCCAATTGCAGGTCTGTTTTTTTTGGCCTCAAATGTTAAATAATTTATTAGACATTTATTCACATGAGAAGCCCATATTCAACGCTCTAGACTATCAGAGGGTTGTGATTTTTAATGGATTGAAACTGCATCGCATTTAATAACTGATTCTAAAAATGGAGAATTAAGATTTTGGTTTATTATTGTAATAATAGTACTTGACTGTATTGTGATAACTGTGCTCAGAAATACTGAAATTTTCAATATATTCATTTTTATACATCCACATACATATTCCTTATACCCTAAGGATGATCCCAACTGTTTTTAATGAATGCCCAACCCCCAGTGGCAGAACCACTATCATTTTTTCTGTGTGTTGCCTACAGCCTGCCATTCTTAATGGATTGTCTTTGAACCTGGCATATATGTATTCCTTATAGCCTAAGGACAGCAACTATTGATTTTGGTGCATGTACCGATCCCCAGGGGCAGCACCACTATCATTTTTTCTGTGTGTTGCCTACAGCCTGCCATTCTTAATGGATTGTCTAGGAACCTGGCATATGTATTCCTTATAGCCTCAGGACGGCAAGTATTGATTTTGGTGTATGTCCTGACCCCTTGGCATATTTATTCCTTATACTGTAAGAACAGCATCTATTTATTTTCGCGCATGCCTCAGTCTGTAAATTTGGCAAAACAAATGCTTAGCCTTCTTTGCCTCTTGTCATATTACAGTTATTGCAACCGTTTCATATTTCATTCTCTTCATTTTAAAAACTACCATATCAATCAAAGCAGGAATGTGGATGTATGTTGTGGCAGTAGCAATATTTCGTCATATATTTCATTATTTATTTTTGAACTATTATAGCAAGAATGACCAGCTCTTATTTAAATCTTACATAATGCATTTTTAATATTGATAAAGCTAGATTAATATTTCTAATATTTCTGGTAATCTCAGCACTTAATAGATAGTGAGCTATAATTAGTATTTATATAGCTCAAAGTGATATGGGACCAGTTTTATATTAAGAATTTTGATGCTGTTGTCCCCAGAGTGTATAGTAGAGTCCCCAGAGTTTGTAACCAATCACATCACCTGTTGCTATTGTTGTAAATTATACCTGTACATACACGACCCTCTATAGGTGATTATCAAAGCTAAAGGTTCATATATTATGGTTTACAGCACATTTTATTGTATAATTAGTTCTGTTGAAACCACATCTATTACTGGGATATAAACATTGTATTATTTACATATATTAACTCATAATGATGTTCATTACAAATTTTATTGTCAATTTTTGTGTGAAAGATCTTCAAACGATTTATAATCATTCAATAGAAAAAAAGTATTATTACAAGTTGGTGTGATTTTTACTCTGGAAACCTAACTCTATATTTCACTGTATGTGAGTGTGTGTCAAGTACTAGTAAGTCTAACTGAACATATAGATAGTTATTCACAACAAAACACAAGGTATATATGGTCATAACTACCATCTTCAATCAGATTTAATTGTGTAATGAATATTCATGAGGTGATGTAGATGAATATAACCAATCAACAGTGCCATTATAGATGTCATGTTTATTCATAGTAATGTGTGTTTCCGTATGCGGTAGTGTTTGTTGAAATAAAATGCATGTAGTCTTTAAACATTTCACTGAAAACTTTTCTTGTACATTAACTATCAAATATGAACCGTGAAATAACCATGTAGCTAAATTGCTCATCTAGCTTTTGTATATTGTTTTGTAAAATTTAGCTATAAAGTAAAATCTGTGTCACTTACTTTTGGTGAAATCTGAGATAAGACTTTGAGTCAAGTTTGGCTTGTAATTCTGCATTTGTTCGAAGGTAATTGACTTTTACATTTAAATGCACTTTAAATAAGGCTAACCAACCCATATTATTGTAACACATGACCCATAATCACCTCTCTAGATGGCACATTGGAATAGCTCTATGTTGGGTCATGGATTATAATCTTGTGGGGACGATAGTTATTCAAATAGAGTTAGTGTATTGGAGGGGATGGTATCGACTTTACCGGTAATTTATTTTTTAATATTTGAAGATTGGTATAAGTTTGTATGGTTTTCATTCTTATAATATTTGTAAATTGGTGAAAGGGGTGTACATGTTGTGTACAGGAATTAAAAAGGAATCTATCCTCTATGCAGGTTCATGAATACATCATTCTCTGTATCCCCAGTGGTATCGGTCCATCCACTAGGTGTTCACAAATTCAAATTATCTCCCCTTGGTCGTAGCTTGATTCTATGAACCAATCAAAAAACAATTTACTGGTACATACCAATCTTTATGTTTACCATGATAATTTTTGTTGCAATAATTTGACTTGGTGTCTCCCTTGTGGATGGACCCAAAGGCTAGTGGAGTAGAACAAAACGATACCACTGGGGGATACCGAGAATGTGAATACATATACTCAATTTACCTCCCATCTTGATCAATTGTTAGAGGTCATATTGAGAAATGAGAAACAGGGATTTAGTTATCACTCATCACAATTAGTTTATTCAGGACTAAAAGAATGATGATGTTTATCCTTTGTTTAATTATTTATTGTGTATGGGGTGTGGGGGATGGTGAGTAGACTAGCTGCAGAAACCTATTGAAGTTAGGCAGGCAGCCTTACATGTCATCTTGGAATATAATACACAGATGGCTCTAAATCCAGAGTTTGAAGGGTTAAAATTTTAGAAAAGCTGTTATTTGAGCTACATATGTAAATCGAGGATGAAACTGCATGGATGAAATTTTCCATTTAATTTAATTTTAATATTAATTTTTGCTTTATGTTGACATGGCAACATGTATCAATATTCTTTGTATTATATTGTTTTGTATATATTGGTTATTTGTTATATATTACATGTATAATACTATCACTTTTTACATATAATGTATATAATAATATAACTATAGCCTTGGTCAATTTGTTTTCTCTGTAATCTCACAAACTGTTTCTGCTGCATGGATTACGAAAAACAATTTTGCTCGTACTATTCAACCACGAATTGAATAATCTTCATTTGTACAATTCTGTATTTTTATCTTTCCATCAAACAATTTATAAGTTGTCTAAAAATAGATCACTTCTATAATAAAGAAAAAAGTCACATCTTGAAAAATTGTGTTGTGTAATCCATTTGGCAGCAACAGCAGATTCTTTAACAAAGATATAAAATATAGTTCCATTCAATTTATGAATACAATATAAACTATGAAGAATCCAGGCTTTATTTATACATTAGACATCATCCCAGTTTTGGAAAGTTTGTACTTTACATACTGGCATTCTGATGCAGTTGCTCATTCTTCTTTTGAAAACTTTTTTTATTTAATTCACAAAACCAATTAAATTTATAGACAGTAATAATGTATTTATTGATTAAATCGTCTGTCTTGAAGATATATTAGTTCAAAATATATGATCTCTTCACATTTGATGGGCATAAGGGATTTTTGGTTAAATACAAAGAAATCTTTGTTCTAGTCCAGAAGATTAAGGTCAAATGAACAGATTAATTTTATGAGACTCGGGATTAAATGAAGAATGGGATTAGATGTTTTGATCATAAACAAGATAATGCACTTATGACCAATTTACGAAAGACAAGATATTGCAATAATTATACTCTCTTGTATAGCACTATGGCCCTTAAGACAATTTTGGCTCTTTATAAAATTGTCTTTTCAATTTTGTCTATAAAGTTATATCACACGTACTAAATGAATGTGGATATAGTTATTCGTAAAAAACAGTGATGTTTTGGTCAAATTATAATCATTGTCAAAATAGTCATCAAATTCTAGCTGTTAATCGACCTAGGGTTGATAGACCAAAAATAGGTAATGTTGCCTGTCTTTTTTGTGGGAAATATAGAGTTTTATTCCTTATATGGTGTGGAAATTCACGTCAAGGTTATTGAAGACCTGCAAAAAGTAGGGGGTATAAATTAGGGTGTAGAGGAGAGCTAGATTAGAGCTCACCCAGAAATTCTTACCAGTCATTACCATTGAGAACGAGGAACCTGCAAAGTTATTTCCAGTTTACTAATAAAGCTGTGAAATCATTGTTGCTGTAAGTATTATTTACGATCACAAGGAACACAACAAATAAAGAAGTCGGTAGTACTACACTTGCCCCCTCCTCCAAACACATAATGAAGATCCACATTGGGAGAAAACAGTAGTATTCATGTTTTATGGATTTTAACGCTTCACCGGGCAAATAAGGACGGGCTTACATCATACAGTTCGCTATGAGGGACATTTTTGCCTGAAGAGCAGCGCTATGATCTACTCTTATATCAAATTCAAACTGCCAAGGGTCTCAGGGGGTTTTTTCTTTCGTTTTTTATTTGGCACTTACCAGGCCATCTGTCCTTCACAACTGACAAGGGGGAACCGTGTCGGATTCTAGATGAAATTTCTCTACCAACACCAGGATTGAACTCAGGATATCTAGGTTAGCAAGCCATCTTATTCACCGCCCCAACGTGGCCCCTTGCCATTTCGACAAATGCAAAGTAGGTGGACATTGCTCAAAAAGCAAGCCAGTAACAATTGAACTAAATGATGCAGCAATGAATACTGTTTTGTCATTTAACAGACGACTATAGCTTTATATACCTTATTTACCACCTGTAACGGTCTTTGCACGGTTAGAACGTCAAAAGTTAACATTTGAGATTTTGTAGTACTTTTGAAAATTTGAAACCGTCTTCTGGGAAGGTTATGCGTTCGATCCGGGTGTTTGCATAAGTAAAGTTTTGTTTGTAATAAGCCGTCTACCTGTTATAAAACAGCTGGAGTAATAGATTGTTTTATAACCTGGTCATGTTCTGATATGGAATGCTACATCATGTTATTTAACTTGGCATCATAGAGTTCTTTTGTGAAACAGTCAAAATGCTAGATTATTAGGCCTATGTTCCATTTAAAAGTTTTATGAAATAGACGAAATACTATATTATGTTAAATAACCTTATAAAATTCTTTTGTCTCATATCTCTTCTCTGTCTGATGACTGGAATAAAAGATCTTGACCATCTTATATAGTTAAACTTTAGTTTTGTCAAATACTTACGACTGCTCTTAGTATGCCTTCGTCCAACATGGTGTATATCAATAGTAATGGTGTCGCCCCATTGCCCAACATGGTGTATATCAGTAGTAATGGTGTCTGCTCGTCGCCCAAAATGGTGTATATCAGTCGTAATGGTGTCCCCCCATCGCCCAACGTGGTGTATGTCATTAGTAATGGTGTCGGCCCATCTCCCAACATGGTGTATGTCAGTCGTAATGGTGTCCCCCCATTGCCCAACATGGTGTATGTCAGTAGTAATAGTGTCGGCCCATCTCCCAACATGGTGTATGTCTATTAATGGTGTCTGCCTGTAGCCCATGTAGTAATGGTGTCACCCCATCGCCCAACATGGTGTATGTCAGTAGTAATGGTGTCTGCCTGTAGCCCATGTAGTAATGGTGTCACCCCATTGCCCAACATGGTGTATGTCAGTAGTAATGGTGTCTTCCTGTAGCCCAATATGGTGTATGCCAGTAGTAATAGTGTCTGCTTGTCGCCCAACATGGTTTGTCTGTAGTAATGGTGAAGCATTTTTTGCCAGATTTAATAAGGAGGAAAATGGGCTAGAAGAAGACATTGGACACCTAATGTGAAATGAAAAGGGGTGTAACTTAGATTTTTTGGCACCAACAGGGATAATTACATGTGTTATGAGATAAATTTGACTACAGCATACTCTATTTCGAATTCCAACAGTCATGGGTTCTTCTACTACGTGCCATCTGAATGACAAGACACTGTCATGGTGTCACCCCATTGCCCAACATGGTGTATGTCAGTAGTAATGGTGTCTTCCTGTAGCCCAATATGGTGTATGCCAGTAGTAATAGTGTCTGCTTGTCGCCCAACATGGTTTGTCTGTAGTAATGGTGAAGCATTTTTTGCCAGATTTAATAAGGAGGAAAATGGGCTAGAAGAAGACATTGGACACCTAATGTGAAATGAAAAGGGGTGTAACTTAGATTTTTTGGCACCAACAGGGATAATTACATGTGTTATGAGATAAATTTGACTACAGCATACTCTATTTCGAATTCCAACAGTCATGGGTTCTTCTACTACGTGCCATCTGAATGACAAGACACTGTCTGGCCAGTCCCTCCACACTGGAAAATCTATGGAAATTTGGGCCACCACTGGAATCCCAGGTTAGTGAGCCAGCACTGTATTCACTGAGTCACCATGGATTCCTCACACAGCATACATACACCTAGTTGATAAACAGAGCTGTGTAATAATATGATTATTTTGTGACCTGTGATAGCAAAATGAGTTGTAAGACCAGGACCCTCACAAGCCCAATGTAGCCCAGGGCAAAAGTTTCAGTGTTTTGTGAAACCTGGTGCAACATGTTATGATGTTAAAGAAGCTAAACCCCTATGGTTTAAGTCAAAATATTGAATCTGGTTGATCTAAGGTATACATGGCAGTTCAAAAACATATACAATTAATAAAATTAATTAATAAAATAAAATAAAATTCAGAAGTAGTATATCCATATTAGTGTGTTATTTTTTAGTGAAATCTATTTCTATATGTCTTATAAGGATAATGACATTAAATTAACATAACAACATATTACAAAAATCAATTATTATACATACCAATTGGCATCTATTTCATAATTTGGTTTGATTTATATTAATATGCAAAATATATAAATTAGAATATTGAATAATTATTTTAATTAATTGTGATGATAGAAGGCGCAGTTCTCTTGCTGGACACTTCACAGGCATTGAAAATAAGCAGGATGAAAAAAAACGCCTAGAAAGTCATAAACTTTATTACAAATAAATTTCAACGGAAGAACCATCCGCCGATGCATACTTTCACCAGGAATGACCCACGTTTCGCATTTCCTTTACACTACATTTAATAATATCGCAGTCCTCTACGCCATAGACAAGTTGTTTTGACGATGTGGTCTAAACAAACACGTGATTGTTTTACGCTCAGAGTATCATAGCAAGACGCACATGTAAATATTACTCAGGTCGTCTCTCCACTGCGAAATCATTCTACCATGAAATGTAATGGGAGGCTCAGAAAGGGATAAATAATGAAAGAACAGAAAGTATTTGTCACTTTTCGGTTGAAACGACTCGATAATAAATACTATTTTTCACATTTTGCTTCACAATACTCGATAGAAATGTAATGTAAGTAACTTATTAGCACCTTTCCTCGGTGTATCGGTGAATACCAGGACAGTTTTGGTCGGGAGCCGCCACGGCTGGGCCCCTCGACCAAAACTGTCCTGATATTCACCGATACACCTCGGAAAGTGTGCTAATAACTACTACATATTAAGCAAGTCATTTTGTTGACTAATTTCAGTATCATTTATTCTTGTCCTCATTATACATTATACTTCAATAACAAATTATATTTTTATCACATTTCAATCATAATACATTATTCTTCAATGACAAATCATATTTCTATCACATTTCAATCATAAGACTTCATTCTTCCGTAACAAATCATGTGTTACATATGAATTATTATTCTTCCGTAACAAATCATGTGTTACATATGAATTATTATTCTTCCGTAACAAATCATGTGTTACATATCAATTATTATCCTTCCGTAACAAATAATGTGTTTAACACACTTCAATCGTTGTACTTCAACAACAAATCATGTGTTTATCACACTTCAATCGTTGTACTTCAACAACAAATCATGTGTTTATCACACTTCATTCGTTGTACTTCAACAACAAATCATGTGTTTAACATACTTCAATCGTTGTACTTCAACAACAAATCATGTGTTTAACATACTTCAATCGTTGTACTTCAACAACAAATCATGTGTTTATCATACTTCAATCGTTGTACTTCAACAACAAAACATAATTCATTCATACTTAAGTAACAATGCATGAGTTTACCATAACTAAATTATTCTACTTCAATAACAAATGTATTAGGAGAGGCACTCGGGCTAAATATCATCGTGTATTAAAAATTGTTAAGAAAAATAAAGATCAGATTTGTGCAAACAAACTAGCTGATTATTTACTAGAAAATAATTGTAACAACTTTTGGTCAGAGATTAAGAAAATCAACGGATCATGTAAATCTCTTCCTAATACGGTTGACGGTCAAATAGGTGCAAATAATATCGGTAATCTGTTTTGTAATAAATATAAGCAATTGTTCAATAGTGTCTCCTTTGATGAGGGGGATATGTCTACATTGCAGAATGACATTGAGTTTAAATTAGATAAGTGTAAGAGTAATAAGTGTAATAGAGTTCATAGTGTTTGTACAAATGAAGTAGAAAGAGCAGTGAAACATTTGAAACGTGGCAAAAAGGATGGCAATATTGGTCAAACATCAGATCATTTAATTTATGCTTCACATTCTTTCTTCATTCATTTATCGTTACTGTTAACTTCTATGATTACTCATGGTTTCTCACCCAGTAACTTTGTTCTCTCCTCAATAATATCCATCCCAAAGAACAGAAAAAAATCGTTAAATGATTCCAGTAACTATCGTGGTATTGCTCTCAGTAGTATTATTGGAAAATTCTTTGACTGGATAATTTTGAAACATAACAGAGATATCTTCCAATGTTCGGATCTACAATTTGGATTCAAGGAGAAACATTCAACAACCCATTGCTCATTCGTAATAAATGAAACTATACAATATTATAATAATAGGAATTCTGACGTCTTTGTAACCCTCCTGGACGCAAGCAAGGCTTTCGACAGAGTTAATTATGTCCAATTATTTAAGTTACTGCTATCTAAGGGTATGTGTCCTTTAACAGCTCGTTTTTTACTTAACATGTATTTAAATCAGAAAATCAGAGTAAAATGGGGTAACATTGTAACCGAAACTTTTAATGTCAGTAATGGAGTGAAGCAGGGTGGGGTTTTGTCTCCAATCTTATTTACAGTTTATCTTGACGAACTGCTGAATCGCTGTAGGACCAGTGGCCTTGGCTGCCATATTGGTCACGTTTATGTAGGAGCATTGGCTTACGCTGATGATCTCACATTCGTGACATCCAGCAGACAAGCTCTGATTGGCCTACTTAATATTGCTAAACGATATTCAGAAGAGTATGATCATAAGTTCAATCCTGAGAAAACTAAACTTATTTTCTTTTCACATAGCAGAACATTTATTAATCAATTTAAAGACATATGTATTGATGATAAAAAGATAGAAGTTGTCGAATCAGAGAAACATTTAGGTAACACTCTTAACTCCTCCTCACAAAGACAAAACATATTTCATGGTATTAATAGTTTTCTCGTGAAGGTTAATGTCACTATTAAAAATTTTGTATATGCATCATCTAACACAAAATATAAATTATTTAAGACTTATTGTATGCCTCTGTATGGCTGCCAATTATGGGATTTGAACCATAAAAATATTGATAGATTTTATTGTGTCTGGCGAAAAAGTGTTAGGAGGCTTCTTGGTATATCACCACGCGCACATAGCAACTTATTAAGCATAATTTGTGACGATTTGAACATAAAAACCCAATTGTATAAAAGATTTACTAAGTTTTATTTTAGTACAATGTCAAGCAACAATGAATGTTTAAGTATGTGCAGTCAGATCGCTTTAAATGGAAGCCAGTCTTCTATGTGCAATAATATTAATTTTATTTGTAAAAAGTACAATGTCAAGCAACAATGAATGTTTAAGTATGTGCAGTCAGATCGCTTTAAATGGAAGCCAGTCTTCTATGTGCAATAATATTAATTTTATTTGTAAAAAGTATAACTTTAATAAACATGATGTCCTAAATGTAGGAATTTCTTCTGTTTTAAATAGAATAAAAGACCTAGATCGTAATTATTATAGTGATGATGATGTAAGAACAGGGCTTACAATTAGAGAATATATCTCTTTCAGGGACTCTAATCCAAATGAAGCACTAAACCTGAATCAAATTATCAACTTTCTGTGTACTTCATAATCAAAGTGATATAATTATTTGTATATTGATTAATTATTATATATGTATAACCTATGTGTACCATGAGTACGAATAAACTATTATTATTATTATTATTCATCATACTTCAATAATGAATCATATTGTTTTTATCACAATTCAATCATTATACATTCAATTATTTTAAATTTTGGTTAAAGTTGGTGTTGAGTCATAGAGGTGTTACTCTGGTGTTCTCAATACACTAACCGATCCAAAAGAGACTTGATTTCATCTATAGTAAATTATCGGGAAAAGATAAATGAGAATCCAGATTTATGTGATGTTTATCACTGTTTATCCTAACCATGGGTTACTTGAAGAACATGGGTCCCATGTTATACCAGATTCTTCCTTTGAGTTCTGGAAAAACAAGGATAAAACTCATTTTAATCAATCTTATTAAAATACATCATCTGATATACTTTAAATTTATGTTCTTTGTTTTGATTATTGTGATGAATATGTCACAGAATCTTGTCAACGTGCCAATGATACTATAGAGTACAAAGATTTTGCCTTTTTGTACCTAACCTTTATAGACAGCTCAGACAACTTCACTTCTGTGGCCAATCTTCATTAGCCCAGTCGGTGCAAAAAATTAGGATGTTAAACCCATTTCATTTCATTTCTCTTCTGTGGTTATAAGTTTTGCTCGCCAGATAATCTTTCTTTTTTGAGAGTATGGTCTTTTCATTACCTTTCTACTCTCTACTTCTATTTGAAGTTCACATAATATCCCATACCCACTACATTAGAAGATTTTCATAATACGATTAACAGTCCACAAAGCATTCTCAGACTTAAAAATTTACTCAAAACTGTTGGCCTTATTTTAAAGAAAATATAGTCCATTATAAAACTTTTGTTGTTTAATGTATCCAATACGTCAGTAAGAAACTATGTGCAAAGTTTTTTGTTTCTGGATCAAAGATATTTCTCATAATGGGGTAAATTCTTAACTTAAGTCTGAGAATGCTTTGTAAACTCAGTGCTTTGCAAGGAGCTGATACCAGTCATGAACAGTTTATTGTGATGACAAACGAATTGTCCAGAAAGGGAGACATAGAGGAGAACGCCATTAGAGATTAGACCCCATTTGGTCCAACATATTGACTGAAACATATGAATAGTACTGAATCCTGGAATCTAATATTCTCCCAAAATGATTGAAGCAGTGCAGGGAGTAAATTTAGTCAGTTATTCAGATAAAAGGCTGTCGGTATATGAAATTCAGTTTCAACTGAATTCAGCTCAAAATATTGAAATTTAGAATGCATAAAGACAAAGGTTATATATATTCCTACCAAACTGTCCATGCCCTCTTGTGGAATTTCCCAATCAAATACTTCTGCATTTTCTTTAATTCTTTTCGGATTGCCTGATTTTGGTATGGTGATAATACCCATCTGTACACTATAGCGAATCAAAATCTGAGCTGGTGATTTATTTAACCTGTAATAACAAATAATTATCAAGTGAAATGAAAAGACGGTTCATACTCGCACCAGACAAGACGGTTCATACTCACACAAGACAAGATGGTTCATACTCGCACCAGACAAGACGGTTCATTCTCGCACTAGACAAGATGATTCATACTTGTACTAGACAAGACGGTTCATTCTCATATCAGAAAAGACGGTTCATACTCGCACCAGAAAAAATGAAATCGAGACAATAATTAGATATTGCCTACCAACAGCTTTCAGATATTTCCCCCTGAGATCAAATTAAAAGATTTTTCCATTATGTAAAAATGTGCAGCTAGGTCATTTCGGGACTAACACATGGTTCAATTTTATTTCAATAATTTACTTGTGAGTAGGGGTATTTTAGCAGTGGGAGTAACAAGGTTGGACAGGCCCTATTCCTTGTCACGTACAACCAGGGAATCTAAACCATGCCAGTTGACTCAATGGCACCCCTTATGATACAGTGCGCATGTTCTAACCATTCAGCCATCCAACCCCCCCCCCCCCCCAATACTGGCAAACGAACAATAACCCTTTTCTCATTATTTAATATAATTAATTATCAAAACAGCTGCCAGGCAGGATACGCCCACATTTTTGAGAGATGGATAGAGAACGAGCTACAATCAGGGGCCATAATTCAGGAAGTTACTTTCCAATTTGCGCGAATATCGAAAGGAACCGAGATCTTTGGGTCATAAGCATACATTTCAAGTTTAAACCAAATCGGATAAAAATTGTGACCTCTACAATGTTCACAAGCTTAAAAACTGATTTTTTGTACAATCAGGGGCCATAATCCATGAAGTTACTATTTCGATACATGCCAATATCGAAAGAAATCGAGATCTTAGGGTGATACGTTGAAATTGGATAAAAATTGTGACCTGTAGACTGACGGACGGACAGGGGCGACAACAATATACGTCCACATGAAAATGTGGGCGTATGAAAACATGATTATGTGTTCAGTTCTATACACACACATCATGAGTTGATATGGATTTCTTTATCTGATGTTTACAGCTGTGCGGATGAGATCATTCGTAACTATGTTTAAAATGGATTTGGGGAAAAATTTGCCAAATTCGGTCAATTATTAAGATATGGTCCTGACTGACTTATATGACCAATATGGAACCTATGTTGCCTACACACCCAGTAGAAGACGGTCATGGAGGAGTGAAGATCACCGTAACACCAACATACAGTATTCACATTTATATACAAATAATAAACTCACTGTTTTGACAGTCGCACAACGTCTGGGTCATCAAATTTTTGTTGTCTGACAACTGGACAATAACCAACGACAACTATATTTTTCTCACGACAGAAATCCACGAGTTTTGGTCTCCTCTGCCAGGGATGAAACTCTATTTGATTGACGGATGGGGTTGGCATGCCAGCATCAAGTAATCCCTGTATATGATGAATTCCAAAGTTGGACACACCTACTGATCTGAAAATCAAATTTTCAAATCAAAATAGAGAGAAATGGGGTTTAACTTCCACACTAACTGGTTCAGATTAGGACTAACATATTGTATATTTTTATTACAAAATATTCACTTGTGTGCAGTGAGAGGAATGACATAAATTTTTCCGGCTGTAGGATCGATGGTTTAAAAAGTGGGATAAATTCTATTTTACTCAGAATCTTGTTGCCATGACAACTTTACCCATAATTCTAAAAGGCCACCTTGATGCACTCAATTTATACTGAAACAAAATAACATGACAGGGACAGACTGGGAAATCATGTAGTTCTGTTCAACATTCCTCCACCATTCCTGTGGTGGAGCTGCTGTGACTCAGTGGCTAAGGTGCTGTCTTGCTAACTTTAAGGTCCCTGGTTCAATCCCAGCGTTGGCAGTGGTGCAGGACGGAGGGTCTATTGAGGAAAAGTGTCTAGTCATTCTGATGGGGCAATAAAAAGAAGCTCCTGTGTACACCTTGGCATGCACATAAAAGAAACATTGACAGTTGGACTTTAATTGCTGTCTGGGCAAAATTTCCCCCATAGCATACATACTACATGACATATGGTCATCTTCATTATCCCAGTTGGCGAAGAAAAGTAAGACACATTAAACCTTTTTTATTCATTGTAACTTGTGGCTTACCAGTAATTAAAAGACCGATAAATGTATATAGTCTCCATAGATGAGATTGAAAGTTATGAGGTTTAAAGTCCACTAAACACAAACTAGGTCATTTCCAGACCAACATATCTAGATTAAGATAAGAGGATACTAGAAATAGCCTGCTTATAAGAAAACCAGTGATTGTTTACCATAAAAATTGTGTTCTGTTAACATGAAATTGGGGGGGGGGGGGGACTAACGCCAAACTTTTCTGAGCCTTGCTGGACTTTTTAGAGAGAGAAATGGGGTTTAAAGTCCACTCAATACAAACTAGGTTATAGGGGGACTAACATGGTTCAATTTTATTTCACTAATTTGCTTGCGCATATGGTCTTTAGCGAGGCTGGACAGTACAAGCTGGGAATTGAAAGCACACCAATCAGGTCAATGACAGACCTTATGATCTAAAGCACACACGTTATTAAACCATTTAGCCATGCATCTAACACCCAACCTCCCAGTCTCCGCGGGAGATGTAGATGGGTTAATATTAAGTGTATAACATACCTTACTAAACCTTGTTGTTTCAATTCTAACATAGCTTTATATGTTTCAACATTACGCCCTTCATTTGGTGAATGTATCAATAGTTGATCAACATAACCACAATCTAACCTACAAATCATATACATAATATTAACATCATATAAAATATAAATATATTCTGGTTCACAGATACTACATATAGTCGTGAAACAAGGTCCATAACTCTATAAATAATTTACAGGAATTGTTGAAATTCAATAGATTCTTTGCCTCACTAATGTAAACAAAATACACGATCTGTTGACAAAAAGCCCCCAACAAAAATGGAAACCCTGCAACCCACATCAGGATTTTCATATCAATATTCATATCTATATATAAATAAATATTGTTAACATGTTAGTGAGGATATATCTTTGTTTAATTTACCTTTTAAAAGATGCTTGGAACGATTTTTTACTTTCTTCGTAACCATGGCAATCGTGCCATATTTTAGTTGTAATAAATATATCTTCTCTTTTAAATCCTGATCTCTTGATACCTCGACCAACATCTTCTTCATTTCTTTAAAACATCAAAAATAATATAATACATCAAATGAAATATAATACAAAATCAAATCAAATCAAATATAATATATTAAATGAAATATAAAATACAATACATGAAATGTAAAATATAATACATGAAATATAAAATATAATACATCAAATGAAATACAAGGAAAAACACCTACACCTAGTTGTTCAGATTGTAGGGAAATCTGAGGTCTTTGAGTGGCATTTAGCCAGTAGGAAACACATTAACAGAAGACAATATTTATGAGAAACAATCACTAGTTTTTATTCTAAATGCACAACGTTGCGACAAAGTATCCCACTATCGTTATCAAGCACACAATGGCTTTTAGTAAACTTGAGGTCAATATCTTTTGTTTATATAAACATTAAACAATATATTTATTCAGATTTGTATCTGAATAGGGATTGGGGAATAGGCATAGCCTATATTAAACCCCTCTCCCAGTTGGTGCAGAAAGGTAAGACATTTAACTGCAATTCATTTAATAAACTAATAAGGGTATCCTATTCAAGCGACTGAAACCATTGTCTAAAAATGATACTTGGAATAAGTCGACATTATCAAATAATGGTTCCTCAACTTTATGAAAATTGTTCTTTTTTTTAAAATAAATGATAATGATTGCCTTGATTTTAGTTATTAGCTTTCAATACCCATAAAAAACTGCAGTATCAATATATCTATAACCCAGTTGTAAAGCTGAAACTACTGCATTTTCAGCTTCTTTATTGGCACCAGATTCACTCAGAAATGTCCCCAATCCAAATAAGGGCATGTCCACTCCATCATTCAGTTTAACAGTACTGCTTAAACTAGTGGCAATCGTCACAGCCATTTTCTTCAAATATCTGAAAATGTATTTTAAACAACTACAATAAAAAATATGCTTGACATTTCTCTAGACATTAAATTGGCAAACATGAGGCCATTCATGAGACAATACTGCTCAATAGTCAAGGATATTCATTCATCAAGCACTATTTATCTGATAAAAAGAGCAGATTAATTTCAAACTCTTATCTACATATTATGGTATCTGGACAAACCATGTGTAAAATATAACCTTGTCCTAGATGGGAAATCATGTTAGGCTGAGAGGTCAGGGAATGTCTTGCTTGGGTTTGAATCCTAATATGGGCCTAGAAGAATGTTCTGATGGCTGATTGGTTAGCATGTGCATCTGTCATTGCATCAGCTGGCATAGTTTTGATTCCCTGGTTGTACGCGACAAGAGTAGAGTCATCTGTCTAACCTTGTGGGTTTCCTCCGGGTTCTCCAGTTTCCTCCCACAGCTAAAGACCCCTATGTATATGTGCAAGCGAATTATTGAAATAAAATTGAACCATAGATAAGATAAGATAAGATTTTATTGTATCAAAACACCCATTGAGGACAGCATACAATATAAACATGTACATAAATTTATAACAATATGACAAATAATATATATATTTACAAACAAGGTAAATGATAATTTTAATCTAGAATATGGGATAGGAATGCTAGAAGAATTACATGAATCGAGTAATAAAACATGGTATGAAATATATTAATACATGGAAATCTCGATAATAATTTTGATACAAAAGGTCTACACAATATATGTTCTTAGATTCATTGCAGTGATTGCATGAAATACAAACGTACTAACTGATTTTGCAACTGGTTTAATAGATTTTCTAGAGAATATAGGGTACCGGTAGATAATTATCTTTAAATGTTGGGTATTATGTGAACAGTACATAAATTTTCATACAATGAACATTCTAGTAAAGAATGACCCAGTTTGTGTCCAATGGAGGTTAAAACCCATTTCTTTCTATCTCTCATTTGTCAGTGACACTGCAAAAGGCCGTCATGGAATGCTGAGTCATTCGGGTGGGATATAGCCCACCTGGAATTGCAGTGCAAGCACCCTAATAAAAATTACTCGTCTTGGTTTGTCTCAAAATGACCTTTGCATTGTGTTGAAAAGAGATTAATATCTGGTATAGCCTACTGGCAGCTATTTGTTCCATACATAAACTGTCTATTCACTATTAGTATTGCCATATTGGGCTCATTAATCTATGCCCAAAAAATTTTATGATCTCGGATGGTCACTGCAGCTAATCACATGAACCCCTTTCTGGAGCAGTTCCAACAATAGCTCATATTAAGCGAATACAAAGCTCAGGACTTCATCTGCTATATTATATTATTATATAATTCCTGTGAAAACATATCATCATTCATTATATTTGTCTATAATTTCAACAAAAAATTCAATAATTTTTACTCTAAATTCAACATACCCAATAGTTCTATGGCTTATTTAACTATAAAATGGTGGTCTTGTTAATTCCCAATTCCGATTCCCACTGTCACTGCCTCTGTCACTTTCAAAAAAGACCTCTAAAATAATATCACAGCCACCAGTTCAAATCTTCTGGAAACATTTCTTTCTAATTGTTTGTCTTCAAAGACGAAGAGTTCCGACTGATATTTGACGATGTTTGCCGATCGCGTGTTTATTTTGAAGAGTTGTATAAAATGGCGGCTACTTTTACAAGTCCATCGCAGTTACTGCCGCTTGGTTTGTTTAAATTTTAATAATAAGATTTGACCAGTTTGTTTGGATGAATTATTATATATTTTACGTGTTATTCTTCAAATATGAAATGGTTACCATACACAATTGTAGAACTATAAGTGATATTTCGTGGTCAATTGTTTAATATTTTGTTGTGTCGATGGGGTGAAACGACCACCAAAAATGTAACCGTGTTAATTAATAACTGCTGATGTTTATTATTGTCTTTTTGCCATATATTAAAGGGCCAATCCCGATTATATTTTGGAGAATAAAACTGGTTAATTTTGTGTTAAAATCACTTAAATCCTCTACCCTAGGGCCAAGCAACTAACTCAATATATTTGATACGTTTTCAAACAACTTAAACCCGTCAGTCTTAATCTGGAAGTGGGGACCGGTGCCCAAAGCTGTATTATGCAGTGTCTGGATAACACCAGCCTTTTATTTTATAAAAATAATGTGTAGGTGGAATTTACTTTTCGTTATCAAGTACAGCACATGGGTCATTCACTGTATAAACCTCTAAAGGTAGGGTGACCCGTGCACTCTACAGAAAGTTGGTCTCGACACGGCTAAATGTGCATGCTTCAGTTGCGTGTCTCGAACTGATTTCTGACTACCCCGCACTCTCTTTGAGTCGATAAATAACCATGGCACGTGCAATTCTCTACAAATATATCAACTATTACAGCCGTAAAAAATCTATTGTTGACGATTTTGAATAGCAGTAAAATTTAGCTTCTTGGTTATTACAGCAGCTTTAGAAATTACGTTTGTTTTATTTTTTAAATTGCTTTATCACTAACTGTACCGTTAAGAGCGGCTTCTTTTGGTTTAGTACAAATACTATCTCTGAATCACTTTCTTTAGCAGGAACATGATACTAGCAGTAGTTTCATTTTACATTTACAAGTTTCTTAAAACAATTGTTGAGTTGTCTAAAGTGCTTATTTCTAAATTCAATTTCTTGTTCTAGCTCTCTGTTATGTTTCGTAAAAAAGTAGTCTTGATTATCCCGACCTGTCAATCAGACGTAGAATGGTCGATAGACTGGTTAAGCGAGACTAATTTCAAAACAAGGGCACGTAACCTATCTTTTACTCAAAAGTGTCTGGATGTTATGGACGACACTTGGAACCAGTTTTCAGTCTATTATTTATAGATGATTAATGGTCATAGCTTATTAAGTACAACATGATCGTTTATTTAGTGACTATAATTGTGTGAAACTGATTTGAGGCTTGGCATATATATAAATATTGTGGCGTAATTGTCGAGATATTTGGAGATATTTATATATGGTGGGTCACCCTACTAAAGGAACGGGAATCGATTATCAGGTCACCCAACGAAAGAATTGACCCAAAATCTTAAAAGGGTTACGTGTCCGGATAAGCAGTTTTGACGTTCACGTCCAAATGACTCAATATTTTGAGCTGAAATTTTGAGACAGGGTAAATACACCATTTCTCTATATTTAGGTGCTTAAATTTCATACATACTCAGACTTTTATTTTTGAGACTCTGTTCAATTCGGGATAGTCCCTTTAAAAGCTACATGTAATTTATGAATCTCATTTCACAGAATTGGTAGACAAATGTATTGGATCAAGAATACACATTATTATGAAGAATGACATAGAAATAGTGGGTACTTTTTGGGGTTTCGATGACTATGTCAGTATCCTTTATTTATAGAACTTCAATATTACCATATAGATATATTATTCACTATCGTTCTGTTAATATTTTTTTTTACAGTTCATATAATATTAGAACTGGAAGTAGAACAATACACTTTTCTCTATTGCTAAGTATTTAGCGATTATTTTAGTAGCAAATATATGCTCTTTCTATTGTGTGAAGAAAATGTAGAAAGTTTGTTCATTGTTTTCCTGAGTGACAGCTAACATCATGTAAAATGGTGTTTAATGTCCTACTGTTCTTCTGTGACTGGGCTATGAGGAAAATTTTGCCTTGACAGCGGCGCTATTGCATACGCTTGTATCAAATTTCAACTGTCATGGGTTCTTTGACCTACGCGGCCAATGTATACACGGGACCCCATTTTTTTTTTCTCACATCCAAACAACATACATTGTCCCTTGCCAGGCCCTCTGTCATGCACCACTGACAAGCGGGAGCCAAGCCGAAAAATCCAGATAATCTTTCTTGGCCAACATAGGGCTCGAAGGACCTCTAGGCTAGCGAGCCAATGTCTTACTCTCTGAGCCACATGATCAGAAGCTATTAAGATGTAAGAGACTACTACAAGAGAAGTTGATGCCACCTGTTGACGACATTATTATCCAATCAGTACAATCTGTTAATCAGAAATCTGACAGAGAGACATAGTCAGATTGACAACTTTCGAAACATATAACAAAAAACATGTTTCAGTTTCAATAACAAGCCAGAAACAAAGTATTTTAAAATATAAATTTAGTTGAATCCCTTCTGTCTTCTCTTCTTTTCAAATGGACGTATGTACATGTATATACTGTTGTCCGTCCGTCTGTCCACAGTTTGTTTTTGGACACACTACAGGTCACAATTTTTTTCCAATTTTGATGAAAATTGAAATATATTATCTCCAAAAGTTCTTGGTTCCTTTCGTTATGGCCGGGTGTGTATCAGACCATAACATCATGCATTATGGACCCTGATTGTATGAAAAATTATGTTTTTAGCTTGTGGACATTCTTAGAGGTCACAATTTTTATCCGATTTTTTTGGATGAAACTTGAAATATATGTTATAACCCAAAGATCTCAGTTCCTTTTGATATTCATGTATATCGGACTGTTACTTCCTGGATTATGGCCCCTGATTTAAAAAAAAAACTTTTTAACTGTATCACGGTTACACTCTAATGACCATAACTTCCTGGATTATGGCCCCTGATTTTATGAAATGTTCTCTGTAAATCTCTTGCAAAATGTGGGTGTGTCTTGCATGGCAACCGCTTGTTGGATTAATTACATGAATCGACTTTAAAGAAAATTGTGTGTGGAGTGGTGTAAAAGATCAGTGTGCAATATTCATTCACCATCTGATAAACATTATAGATTACACCAATCTGATGAAAATACAGATCTATGTTTCCTTTCGTTTTTTATACTTTCAATGGCCTACACTACATGAAGATCTGACCGGCTGTAGTAATAGGTCGCATCAGAGGTCATACGAGTGGCTTTTGACCCTATGACATCAGACATTTGATTAACCAATCAGCATTGATGTTTTTAGTGAATTACCCACAGCTCCGTGCACCACACGCCAAAAACCCGCTGTAACAGACCGATTCATTGGCTAAACCCTCACATCATCCAGAACATGTTAATGACAACAACTCTTCAAGATCCTAGTGCAGTAAAGATAAAAGACAAGTAAAATGAAATTTTGAACTATTAAAAACGAAACGAAATAGGATCTGTGTTTTAATCAGATTGAGTTTACACAAATCATTAGACCAAAATTTGTGTACAGTGTAGCCATATTTAATTTCTTTAACATATAATTAGACATGGTTTTAGAAGATGTGTCAGAATTGTAAGTATAGGTTGAAATATCTCTAGAATTTTTTGCACACACATCTTTTCCTTTGCCTTTTGGTATCTTTTAGAAAATTACACCCCAGTGAAGATGGAATTGGTAATAACTTACCAGTACTGCTTTTTGGAGCCTGCCATCTAAACCTTCTTGTTCTATTAGTGTAACCAACCCTACCACTCACACATCAGTTACAGGATACAATAGCCTCTAAGATTTAGTGAAATGAATTTAAACTAAGAAGTCAAGTATCAACCCTTTCTTGTTCCTGATGTTAGCTAACTATTGATTATTTATTTTGTAAACTTTTTATATGTAATTTAACACTATACATACATGTATGTTGATCATAATATATGTTTATATACTTTATGTACAGTATCTTACTTTTGGGATCGACTTATTTCGGTATCCTGTGAATAATATATTGTTTAAATAAACAAATGTTCGTGTAACTTAACTGTAGCAGCCATGTAAAGTCATCTATAGAG